ACAAAATACATTACCGTACTTCTGAAAGAAAGAAACTAAATTTCAATGACGAAAAGGTTTAGGAATCTGTATAATGATAAAAATATGGAATAAGTTGTTTTATGTTGTGCTAGACAGTTCAGTTTTTATATATGTTTTTTTTTATAAATTCATTGTAGCAATTTCAAGTTTCTTTATGTCTATTTGTGTAGTTCTAATTCCAATCGACGAAGAAGCAACCTATGGAAGAGTTTACAATTGCCACTGTGGATTCGATGCGAATGAATCATTGGCATAAATTGGCACAAATTAGACCCAACAAAATACTTCAAATTCTCAGTTAACCGGGACATTACGAAAGCCTAAATTCCTATATAATCCTCATTTACTAAATACTTCTGTATAAGCCGCAAATTTCAATCAAAACCAATAAACCCGATTATATTGAACAAAATACAGTAGGTACCTACCTAATCAATTCCACGAAAACCTTTTTAGTCGAAATTGAACAGAAGCCCTTTTTCTCTGTGTATATCATTTCCTATTAATTCCACATTACTAATAAATTCCCATCGGTTCCACAGGAATAAATAAAACGTATAACACTACCAAATACAATAGGTAACGAGAATAGCTCAGGTTTAGAGGAATTGAGACACTTCCATTTGGCCGGGTTGGCAGATGTAAACTGAATTTAGCGCCCAATCACGATGGCTGTGTATTTGGTTTTAGAATTAGAAGTGAAAAATAATTGGTGAAATGACTTTATGCAAATTAAAATACCGTTATATCTCCATGTTATGTTAAATTAGTATGAAAGCATAATTTAATAGATATCTAATTAATACGATGGACTAGTGTAATGCAATGTAATTTCAACTAAGATCGGGGTTTAACATATTTTTTTGTAAAATCACCTGAATTTGCGATATCCAGGCACTATTACAGATGCTATTACAGATTACAGACTGCCTCGTTGGCCGAGTGGTCGCAAGTGCGACTGCCGGGCGAGGGGTCTCGGGTTCGATTCCCGGGTCGGGCAAAGTATTACTGGGTTTTTAAAAAAATCTCAGTAGTAGCACGGAGTCTGGAAATGTGCCCGGTATATGGCAATAGGCTCACCCCCTATTACATGGGACTCATAACATAAATAGTGAAAAGTGGGTGTTACCTCTGTGTGCACCTCTGCCTACCCCTTCGGGGATAAAAGGCGTGATGTTATGTTATGTTATGTGTTATGTTATTACAGATGCCTAAATCATTGAGGTGCATTAAAAAAAACTTTATTTAATTCCAATGATAGTCCAGTTTTTGTTAAAAAAACTACACTATTTTATAAAACATTACTATTATTATTTGTTTAATATTTCAGTAGGGGCGGCCGTCTCGCGCGCCGCCGCCGCCGCTACAGAACATTGCGACCGGTCTAAATGAAAAATGACGTCAATTTACAGGGCAAACGCACCTAAATTGGATATTTCTCACGGCTGAACCTCCTGCTACTAAGAGTTTCATTGTTTTTACTCCAGTTTACGCATTATTTGTGGTCCATAGGGAAAAACCAAAACCAAAACATCTTACCAAATAACAAATCTAAGAATAGTTTTTGAAACTTTTTAATTTTAAAACTTGTGCTTCATATTTTGTGCGTGTTTTAAAAATTATTTAAGTTTTGATGCTGGATTAATGACGTAATCCAGGTTTAATTGAAATGACTCTAGAAATTTGTACTTTGATTTTAATTTGTACTTTACAAGTTTTGCCTGCTAATTGATAATTTGACTAATCCGTTGTTAATTTAGGAAGTTATTAAAATTGATTTACTGTTTTACTACCTATTTAGGTACTACAGTTATGTCTTTGCATATCTGAAAACATAAGGTGCAAAGTAAAAACCTTCAAGTATTTGTGCACAACTGTTTATCACAGTCTAATAAACAAATGCGTGAAACAGAATCCTGTATCTGATTATGAAGGAGTAAATAAGATAAAGCTTTTTATTTCCCAATTTCTCAAACTAGAGCACGTAGAAACACACACACACATACACACACACACGCACGCATTTAACAGTAGTTTCATATACCTACTTATAGAGCATTCACATGTTACGTAACATAATAACATAACATAACATCACGCCTTTTATCCCCGAAGGGGTAGGCAGACGTGTACATTACGGCACTTAATACCACTGTACAATGTAACACCCACTTTTCACTATTTATGCTATGAGTTTCATGTAATAGGGGGTGAGCCTATTGCCATTTACCGGGCACAATTCCAGACTCCGTGCTACTACTGAGATTTTTTGAAAAGACCCAGTAGTACTTTGCCCGACCCGGGAATCGAACCCGAGACCCCTTGCCCGACAGTCGCCCTTACAACTACTCGGCCAACGAGGCAGTCTCCATGTTTCCAGTTAATTAGCTATAAATCCATTTTCACAAATTCCTATTAAACTATATTGCCATAAAAGAAATAAAAATAAATGTTAAGATTAATAGATGCTGGCAAATCGCCGGGGTCCCTGGCCATCATCAATATTGGCTGGGCGGCTTCATCGATCAACGGTGTTGCTTGTTTCCAACTATAACTGTGCTACAAAGAATATAACAACTGGAAGTGGCATACACAGTTAATAAAGTTGGCTGTATACTTTCAGACTTGCTAGACTGCATGGTTATTCGAAAGTGCGAATGAGTATGAACACAGGTTCAAAAAAACGCCACATTAGACAGATTTGCATTTTTATTATAAATGCCCATTCCATTGGCAATTTCAATATCTTGAGATCATGACAAACTTTTACAAAGTTCACCGTGACATTATAATTTCTGAGTAAGTTTACACTAACTACTAAACCGATGAACTGATTTTAACAGACTATTAAAGCCAAAATTATCGTAAACAATACGAAATAGATATTTCCATCACATCATCAACCTCCAGCGCCATTTAAATGAGCGTGCCATCTGCCAAGTTCGTGCAAGTGTCAGCCAGTAGCCAAGTCCTGTCTCCCTATATCCACGGTACACTTGGCTCTCTCCTCACGTCCGATGGGCCAGTCGTATTTTATTAGATCATTAAGCCCCACAACGTGTCTTGGGCCACTTGGCCAGTCCATCAATACGGCATTCAGTAGTTCTACGTAAGGTATTGATGGTAGAATTAGATTACCGTTTTGTGGTGAAGTGGTAGGAAAGGGTTTTTACCGGCTAAGTAAATCTAGTAGTCTTTTTTTGTACAAAGAGAAATGACTTGAGGTAGATTTTTAAATATACTTCATAACAGTAATTCTATATTTAAGTTTGTTTTGATTTAATTATATGGTCGTTTATATACGAATAAATCACTTATATTTACCTAAACTACAAGACTAAAATTTCAAGAATAAAGCATCATTTTACCACACATCATTGAAACAAAGAACAAATCGCCATCAATTCTCGTGTCACGAGCCCTAAAATGACGCTTTTGACTCTTGCCTGATTAGTCCCGATTAGCTTGACCCCCTTTTTATCTGACGGGACCTTTAATCATTGGAACCCGTCAGACTTACATCGTTCCTTTCAATTGTAAACGAAGTTAATCTCGCCAAAAGTTGATTGCCAAATTGTCAATAGGGGATGCCCGAGCTCATTTCACGCTGAATTCCAACCGTTTTATCACATTTTTCGTTTTTAACTATCATTGTTAAAAGGTTTCGTACAAATTAGTTGTTAAATTGTGTTTTTGAACTCACGTAGAAGGTTCTTTGATGTTTATTAAGAAGATTTGTTTGTAGTTACGTTCATTGTTCAATGTTGTGTTAAATATCAATGGAAGTATACAATATTACATAACATAACATCACGCCTTTTATCCCCGACGGGGTAGGCAGAGGTGCACATCACAGCACTTAATGCCACTGTACAATGTAACACGCACTTTTCACTATTTATGTTGCGAGTCCCATGTAATAGAGGGTGAGCCTATTCACAAATCCAGACTCCGTGCTACTACTGAGACCATTTTAAAAAACTCAGTATTACTTTTCCCGGCCCGGGAATCGGATCCAGGATTAGCTTCTGCTAAACTAATATATCTCTTTCAACTAGCTTCCAACTATCAGACTATGACAACCATGAGACAATGACAAAAGTTATGCTAAATTCGGTTCATTACACATTCAAATAAAAGTATTCACTTTTCAAATTAAATTCCAAACTGAGTCAATAAGTTGTAACACTATTTAGCCTAACAAGGAAATTCCGCGTAACGAAAACTCTCACGAATCCGAGAATTGGAAAGTTTCCACTGTTTTTGCATGAATCAACTGTAATTCATTTTAAATTAGTGAGCGTTGAACCGTCAGACATCTGAAATGTGATTAATGAAACTAATTTTAGGGGAAAAATGTCCCGAAATTTTGTTACGTAAGCGCAGAATGTTTCCGTGCCACTGGCCGGGAAAACGTAATGCTTATTAGCTAGATATTACTCCCACTTATCTCCTAAAAGATAACGTTTCTTCTATTTCTTTGTCGCTATTTCATGGAAATTCATAAGACCCTTTTTTGGTCTTGTTCTTAGACCTCGATAATTAAGGAAAAGGATTCTTAATTCGCTTCAATTTGTGAAGGCTGAAAATAATATTGATATTCTGAATTGATCATACAGTTTTTGAAGTTTGCACTTTGCAAAAAGAAAAACATATTTTAATTAAAACTTATTTGAATAAGTGACGTGTCTATTATTCAATTTTCTTTAGATTCCTATAGTTAATATTTTACTTAAGTAACTAAAATAATACTGCTGATTTTATAATTATATTATTATAATGAAAGAATATCTTCTCAACAAACTTATTTCGTTGGGCCAAAGACTAGCAACCAATTACAGTACTTGGTAAAAAATTTTACAACCTTTTCATTGTATTATTGTAGTTTTTCGTACCCAAACACACTACTAACAAACTACTAAATGTATTAAAAAAGAATACCTCTAATGAGTACCCGTTTTTACGATTCGTTCCAGCAGAAGCACCCACATGTGATCTTTGAGGCGCGAACGAAGGCGAACAAGGGCTGCGCCAACAAGCTGGAGTTCCGGCCCAAGAGTCGCCGTACTAAACACGTGCCCTTCGTTGAGGAACCGCTCGCTGATGACCCTGGCAATATGTGAGTAACACTTTACACTTTTTAAAATTTAAAAAGTTGTTGAATGGCAATTCTCCACCATTGTCGGTCACCACTGTCTGAAAATACTTGTAAATTCCCATTAGTACAATGCAATGTAAAACTAAAGCTGTACACAAGTGTGGGAGAGCCATGCTTCGATACGAATGGGCCGGCTCGACCGGAGTGATACCACGGCCTCACAGAAAACCGACGTGAAACAACGCTTGCGTTGTGTTTCGTCGTGTGAGTGAGGTTACCAGAGGCCCAATTACCCTCCCCTTTCCCAATCTCCCCAATCCCTGAATCCCCAACGATCCTCAAACTCCTAATCCCCAAAAGGCCGGTAACGCACTTGTAACGCCTCTGGTGTTCCAGGTGGCCATGGGCAAAGCCGATAGCTTACCATCAGGTGATCCGTCTGCTCGTTTACCGGCTTATGCCATAAAACACATATCTGCAAACATTATCATTTTAAGAGTCTAATTTACTTTCAGCCAATGGACACACCAAGAAACTAGCGTCATCTACGAACTTCTAACTTAATCTACATTACTCAACATAAATAAAATCTATCATATCATCTGACATACTACACTATCTCCCAATATACAGATTTCAAAATGAATTTCACATTTTCAGTTACAAATCCAAAATGAAAAGTGAGAAGAATTAACTTGTTACAAGTGCTTACCGAATCGATTTATTGCCGGAAGCCGGAAGATTACAAGCGGCTTCCAACGTTCGCTTAATTTACCAGATTAATTATTGAACAAGTCCATGAAATCATTGGACATCTCTATCTTATTTTGTATAGCTAAATTGTCTCTTAGATTCAAGTTAGCTTTTTGTAAAGTTAAGCGTTAATTAGACAAATTCTCAATCTAATAAAAATATAATTTATATTTAGAGTTTTAAAGTCTGCCCTTCCTGGTAAGATACTGACATCTCATACATATTTGCACGATCCAAAGGTCGACTAGTAGAGAATACCCAAGGTATTAAGTAAAAATGTACATATAATTTAAAATCAATATTTTAGTAACAATTGCCAACAGTATATAGAACATACCCCAATGGTATACTATAGTAATACAAAACAAACTCCTATAAGTATACCTTTAAACTTCTGAGAAAATTGGATTCTAAGGCTGTCATAATCCAATAAAAATATTTTTCAATTTTTCCCCTAAACCGAAACACGTGCAGAATAATATCAACCTTATTTAAAATGTTATGAGAAATATTGACACAATAATTGCCTGACAAGGTACATTTGAATAAAAAAAAATAAAAAAAAATAAAAATCTTTATTTTCTCAAAAATACTCTACGGATACAAATTATATAATATGTTACAATTAAGAGACTGGTGTCTGTTAAAGGTATAACCTGTGTTACAGATCACCAGGCCCGGGTGACCCCCGGAGACATTAAACAATATAAAGTATTTACTTAACTAAATAAAGTGGACAACATTGTATGAGTGAGTATTTACTGTGGGTGTGTAACAATGTAGTGTGAGTGCGTGTGTATGTGAGTGAGTGAGTTGATGTGTATTATATGTGGGTGTGTATAGGGAAGTGAATGAGGTGGAAGTGTTGATATGAATGTAGTGATTGATCATCAGTTGTAGCTTAGGAAAGTGGTCTCAGAATTTTTTCAGTCTCCTCATAGTCTAGTTTAATTAGCCAGTCGCTGACGCTTTCTTTACATTTACTTTTGGTGAGAGAATGAATGGTTAGCTCTTTATTTATTTTGTTATATAGGTATGGGCCTAAAAAAGTAAAGAAGTTTTGAGTGAAGCCAAAATGTTTTCTTTCTATATGGCAGATGGTAGTAAGTCTTCTCCTGCTTGTAGAATTATCCGAATTAAATGGTAGTTGAGAGTGCATTTTTAGAACGGTGTACAGGATGAAAAGCTGGCGAACTGTCAGAACATTGAATCGCTGATATAGATCATAGGTTGGGTGACGGAAAGGCAGGAATAAACTTACTTTAAGGATGGCCCTCTGGGCTCGTTCTAACTTGAGTAAGTAAGATTTAGCTGCACCACCCCACGACGTTATGCAATAGGTAAAGACGGATTGACATAAGGCATAGTATACAGTTTTAATTATTTTGCTATCTGCTACATGGCGAAGATTCCTAAAAATAAAGATTAATTTGCGGGTTCTGGTGGTTAGTGCCTCAATATGTAATTGGAAGTCTAGTTTATCATCGATAATAACACCGAGGTATTTGATGTTGTTTGTTTTTTTTAGTTCAGGACAGTGACATGTTCCTGGAGCAGTTATGTGGCAAGTGTGTGCGGTTAAATGCAAGTTTGTATGTTCCTGCGTTCTTTTACTATAAGTCATATACATAGTTTTCCCAACATTGAGTGTGAGTAGATTCTTATTGAGCCATCGAGTTACTTCGTCAAGACCCTGTTGAGCCCATCTAAACGCGTCTTCCCATGTGTCACTATGAAAAAGTAGGGCAGTATCATCCGCAAATGATACGATTTTTCCATTCGTCAATTCTGTTTGACATAGATCGTTTATGTAGACTAGAAACAATGACGGGCCAAGGATACTACCCTGTGGGACGCCACATTCAATAGGTAATTCATCGCTTACCCAGTTCTCAACTTTAACCACCTGGGTTCTTTCATGCAAGTAGTCTTCGTATAATTTCAGCTGTAACCCTCTTACTCCTAGGTGGTCAAGTTTTTTGATCAAGATGGGAATAGATACTGTGTCGAATGCCTTTGCTAAGTCCAGATATATCGCTATTGTTTTATTCTTTTTATCTAAATTTGAAACAATATAATCTGTTACCAGATGTACTGCGTCAGAGGTAGATCTTTTGGCACGAAAACCAAACTGGAACTGAGATAGGAGATTATTTTTTTCTAGAAATGTTACTAGCCTATTATTCATCAGCCTTTCTATAATTTTGGACATGGTTGGCAGAATAGAGATAGGTCTGTAGTTGTTGACACAGCATCTATCCCCACTCTTGAAAACTGGAGTAATTTTAGCCTTTTTAAAGGCTCGTGGAAAGACTCCCGTTTCGAAGGACTTATTGCATATGAACGTTATTGGTTCAGTAAGAATATTTACATATCTTTTCAACAAACTGCCTGATATATTATCAAGCCCTACCGCACAATCATTTTTTAGATTTAAAATAAGAGATTTAACTTCATCTTCGTCTGTGGGTAGAAGAGCCAGTGATTGAGGGAATGAATCTGTATCACTGAAGTCAGCTTGGAAAATGGGGTTATTTTGCTTACATTTTTCTATTAGAGTCTTTCCTATTGTTGCAAAATATGAATTTACTTCGTTGACAGATTTAAGAGGATCTTCGGGTGAAATTAGTTGAGTGGATTGTTCATTCACTCTTTTCGTATACGTTATGTCTTTGATAATATCCCACAGTTTCTTGTTATTTTTACCTGCGTTGTTTATTCTATCTTTTTCATATGTGTTTTTTACTTTCTTAAGAATATTGTTGCAGAAGGTTCTGTATCTTTTATATGTTACTTGCATAATGTCATCGTTAGGATTTTTTTTCGACTTTTTATAGAGGTTATCGCGATTTCTCATGCACCTCAGAAGACCAGGAGTAATCCATGGCTTCAGGATATGTTTGCGCCTAGTAGTGGTAACTAGTCTGGTATTGTGATCAAGTGCGTGATTGAAAGTGGATATTAAATAGTCCGTGGCTTGGTTGACATCCAACATCTCGTACATTGGTGTAAAGTCGATACTTTTAATAGCGCTATCAAGACCATCTATATTTATTCGCTTGTGTTGGTGTTTCAGACGTTTATTATTTATTTTTGTTTTCATAAAAAGTATTACACACTCATGGTCTGTTATAGATGAATTTGGAACATAGCAGTGCGCGGTTAGTTTGGTTTTCAAAAGTATGTGGTCTAAACAAGCTCGGCCATGTGTTGGGATGTTGTGCCCTGGTAGCATACCATGAGAACTAATGAGGTTAAGATAAACAAGTGATCTATGGTCTTGATTGTCTGCAGCAATATCAATGTTCAAATCGCCAACTATAACTATATTTTTAAATGTTGAACAACTGCGTAGACAATCGTCGAGCGATTTTAGGAAATTGTCTATATTTTTGTAGCTGGGCGGTCGGTAGATCCCGAAAATTATAGTGTCTGCATTTAATTTAAAGATTAAGCAGTTGGCATCTAGAAAATCTGGCTCAGTACACGTCGCGTCAATTCCATTCCTATAGTAAATAACTACCCCTTCGTTCTGCGTTTTATTTTTGTTAGTACAGAAGTAATTATACCCGTCCATATGTGGGATGTTAGGATTACGCGATAGCCAGCACTCGGTCAAAACAACGACATCCCAATATATTCTAGACCTATTAATTAATGTTTCAAAGTTTACTAAGTTACAGTTTAAACTCCGGATATTTTGCGATATAACTTTTAGATTGATTGCAGTATTCAACTCCATCTTATAGCAATCATCTATACTGCAAGACTCAGATTGGGCTACCGATATGGAGTCGAGGTCATTATTGATGTTATTAGCGAATTCAGCCATATTTGTGAGGAAATAACAATATGGTGCATCTAAGTGAAAGCATACAGAGCTTTTTCATATTAAATATGCACGTACATGTATGCAAATAACCCCAAAATAGATTAGACTTCGTGTTGAGAGTTACTATGATGAGATGAGTATGTAAGATACAACTAATGTGTAAGCAACTGTGGGTTTGTGAGAGGTGTTTGAGAGTGATATGTTTGTCCAATAACGTTACAATTAGATTATAGTAATATAAAATTAGATAATAGTAACATAAAATTAAAGTCAAAAAAGTAATCAAATTAAAAATCGACATCGAGAATGAAAATGGAATCAAAGTCAAAGTTTGACTCAAAATTAAATTTAAAGTTACAATTAAAATAGAAAAAATTACAGATATTATAATTGGAATGACAGTAATAGCTAGTCACAAGCTTAGTTTGTTTCTAAGTTCCTTTATATCCTCTTCTCCATTCAAACGCCGTGTCGGTTCTCCTTCTTTCTTACGAATATAGACTTTTCCACCAGCAGTCCAACAGTACTTGTAATCATTAGTCTTAGCGAAGTCTCGAGCAAGGAAATATAATTTCCGAGTTTTATACGTCAGATTTTCTGATATAAAAATAGGTTTCGGAGAACCTTTAATGTGTAGGTGAGATGTACTTAGTTTGTTCGTCCTGTTAAACTTTCTACAATGCTCAATAATCTTTTCCTTGGTTATAACTGAGGTAAAATCCACAATAATTGGTTTATTTTCTGGTTTTCTTGTATTTATTCGTTGTATATTGCGTATGTCGCTATACTGAACCGGTACTTCTAATGTTTTGGCAATGCTTTGAACAACTTCTATAAGATCAGTTTTTGATTCGCCATTTACAGCTGGAATGTTTTTTATTTCTAGGCTTGATACTATTAGCATCTTGTCCTGAGATTCAATTTTGCTCTCTAGTGCCGCAGTATACTCCATATTGCTTTTTTTATCTCTTTCCATCCTTTCAAGTCGCTCCTTTAAAACATTATATTCGGCATAGAGGAATTCGACTGATTTAATAATCTCTTGGTTCTGTTTCTTTACATCGTTTATTGCAGTTTGCAGAGTATCAAATTTCATTCATGAATCACTCGAGTGTTAAGATGCTCATCTTGGACCCTCAGGGGTCAAGTCCCGGAATTATTGAAGCGACAACAGGGATGCCCCTCAAGGCAATCAGTTGTTATTTGAGCCATTCAAGTATTTGTGACGAGTGGTTGGCGCTGGTGATGTAAATAGGTAACGTCTTATCTATATAAGTACCCGAAATTTATTTTAGGGTAGCCCTATTTGGTAAGGAAATCTGTTCCCTTTGTTAATTAATATAGTTCTAGTGGAGGAAAAAATAAACAAGGATTTTAATTATTTACCAGGAAGGGTCTGCTAAGATCGTACTTAGCAGATTGAAAAACCAATTGTGTCAAGAAACAATGGCGTCTTTCATTTTGGATACGATCTGAAATTGTGACCATACATATAATATACAATTTAGGCTGTCCACATGTCTGCTCAGATTACCAACTATTTCAAAGCATAGCATTTACCAACATATATCAACGTAACAATCAATACACTGAAATAAGAACCGTCGCTTACATTAATCAACGACTAAAACTAAACGAAATACCCTAGATCCTCAAATAAAATTTAGGACTTAAACTACATAACATAACATCACACCTCTTATCCCCAAAGGGAGGCAGAGGTGCACATTATGCCACTGTATGGTGTAACACCCACTTTTCACTATTTATGTTATGAGCCCCATGTAATAGGGGGTGAGCCTATTGCCATATACCGCGCACAATTCCAGACTCCGTGTTACTACTGAGAATTTATAAAAACCCAGTAATACTTTGCCCGACCCGGGAATCGAACCCGAGACCCCTTGCCCGGCAATCGCACTTGCGGACTTAAACTAAAAAGTGAATATTCCAGTATTAAACCAGTTTTGAAGGAAAAGTTTGTTCTATTAGTCATAGGCATGTCTGCCAAGGCCAAGTGAAAAGTGAATAATGCAATGTGCCAACTTGGCTCATGAGATTTTTTCTCCGGTCGACTACACACTGAGTTTCCTTACTGAATTTGTTTGAGAAATAATTTAAACTTCGACGACGAAACGAAATACTTTGTTATGCAGCTCTTCATGTTTTTGTTGAATATTATATTGGATTTGTTTAACTGTGTCTCTGCTTGTTAGGACTTTGATTCAAGAGTCCTTTTGTTAACGTAGCGGAAAAGTCGGACGGATTATGTGAACAAGAATGACAGATGTTTCTAAAACTAAACCAAGGAATGTTGCAGCTAAGAAATACAATACAAAACAATACAAAAGATAATACAAATCCAATTAAACCGAAATCCAATTTACTGGCTCGACCAGAGTGATATCACGGCCTCACAGAAGACCAACGTGAAACAACGTTGGGTTGTGTTTCGTCGTGTTAGTGAGGTTACCGGAGGCCCAATTCCCCTCCTCCTCTTTCCCAATTCCCGAATCCCCAACAATCCTCAAATGCCTAATGCCGGCGGCCGGTAACCAACTTGTAACGCCTCTGGTGTCCGTATCCATGGGCGACGCCAATTGCTTACCATCAGGTGATCTGTATGCTCGTTTACCGGCTTATGCCATAAAAAAACCAAAAACAAAAGAACTCACTCCTTGATCTACATATATACATAACAATAAAATGCTATTGCCAAAATAGCATAACAAATAGCATGCTATTGCAAAGAATTGCTATTGAAAAAAAAGAAAGAACTTAATCTAAGTTAAAATTTATTTATGCTCAATAAAGTGCATGCGTTATTGCTCTCAATGTGTGTTAATAAACACCTGATGCCGGCCACAGGCAGCCATATTTAATTTGCCATGACCGACTGTTGACAGTCTGTGTTCCAAAATGCTGGTGCCCTCACACTCGACCATGCTATGGTAATGGCTACCGCAACCTGATTCATTAATCCGAATTAATTATTGACACGCACGTTTCGTATTGACGAATGCCGACAGTGCTATAAATGAAGCTACATACATATTAGTTCTATGCAGAAGGGCGTTCGTATAAATAAGTTTATGGTATTCTGGACAGAATGTTTTTGTGTAAATAAAGATTTATCTTACAATCTTATTAGTTTTTTCCCAATCCATTCGATGTTTTTAAGGTTTCTCATTTTAATTTTAATAAAACAATGAGATTTATTCAAATAGAAGGATTATTACCAACAATACCGCGAGGTCTCGCTTGAGCCCCAATCTCACGAGATTTGCATTCCCATGTCTGTACTCTGTGATTGTTTATGCGAATGATCACTACAAAACCTAATGCCATTAGTCGAGAGATAACAAGTGCAACAGCTATGCAAAGTGTCTCGAGTTCGATTCCCGAGCCAGGTATGTAGATCTATGGAACTAGACCACTAAGAATTTCTAACACAAATCGAGAAACCCCAACAACACCATACCACGATTATCACCAATAAAGAAAAACCGTTAAAAGGCGTGCCCCATTCGTTTGCAGTATCAATACAATGTAATCCATAACCTGCGACAGTATTAGGGAGGACCTTTCACCAGCGTCTGTAAATTGGGACCTCCTGAATCATTTATTGGGTGTAAGTGCTGTCTTATAGAGGATGCCTTCATTGTTCCTGTCGTAAACAAGATATTTGGTTTATAATGTACCTATGTAACGACTTGGTAATTTTTTTTGTGATTCATTTCTTTGTAACCTGTGCCCTTAGCCAAACGCCACTATAGTGCCTGTCTACAGAGAGAGTAGAAAACTAAATGTATGGGGATGACACTGACAAGTGACAAAGTTTACGTCAGTTCCATATAATTTGGTTTTCTATTCTATATGTAGACAACCGGTAAATGTCATTTGGCTACAGCTGCTAATATGAGAGACATGTGAACACTATTAGATGAAAATAGGTAGATACATGTAAACTACCATATTATTCATGTGACCCCTTTGCCACTGGTCTCACGTTCTATTCCCGGGTCAGAATTTCTCATAGCACGAAATCTAAAATTGTGCCCAATACATGATACTCATAACTGATGATAACACACGTGTTGCATTTAATATTTATTGTGCACTCTGCTTACTGATTCTTTATTTATTACCTTACCTACATACAAAATTATTTTGTTGTAAAAATACGTCTATATTCCTAATATCAAACGTAAAGTAATAGCTGAGACCACTAAGTACAAAAAAAACGAACGAAGTCGGAAACAGAACACTACTTAGTAAATAAATAAATATAGAACGAAACCAATTTCCTCAGCACTCCTCTCCGCTCCTATTTATTCGTTCACTCACTTTGATGTCCCAGCAATATTTTAATGATAGCATTGACATTCAAAAAGTGTCGCTTACCGAATCATTTGATTTCAAAAAGATAATGAACGAACGGAATGAACGAACGTAATGAACGAACGTTTTGAAGTTTTAATTAATTATGTGAAGGTTTTGTGTTCGATTTTGGAGAATTTGTTACAATGAGAAGCGCTTTTGGGACGGAGTTTCAATTTCAAAGGAAAAAAGTTTCTACGACGCTGATCTTAATGAAAAGAAAATTGGTATCAGATAGAATGTAAAATTTAATATTATTATCATTTAAAATCTGAATTGTGTAACTTCGTAATCCACTAGGATTAACAAATTATGATGCTGGTGAGAGTTTAATGTTTAATAAGTAGGAAGGTACTTACAGTTTCGATTAACAGCAAATCTTCTGATTTAGACACTCTTGATACGAATTAAATACGTAAATTTCTAAAAATCGTTTAACCCTAGAGAATTACGGTAGTACGTACTGATAACATTACGCATTTTTTAAAGTTTTTGGCAATCCTCATCATTATCGTTGTTCTACAACGACAAACAATAAGATCGAGAACAGTGTACACCACTCACTATAATGAGAGCATTCAGAGAAACCCTAATAAACATCCGCATCAGTGTACACACGTCATAACACCCACCTTCGTATGGCAAAGAAAACATTTCTATTTACAATACTCCAATCGAAAACCCGGAAGCAATCTACCCGGGCGGGTCCGGGAAATTTCCCTAGTTTCCAATAATAGGGGCGTGAAGGGACTGATAAACTTGATTAAGCACTCCCCACCCTATAGGGAGGCACTCCCTCATCTAACAGCCTTAAAACCGATTTTTAAGGATACGCATTTTATATCATCTGTGGCGCTTACATTATCTGTGGTCGATTATACTCTGTATTTTTTAGCGGGACGGTAATTCCAAACTCACAGTAATTACTATCTAAATCGAAAGTATACATTTATATTTTGATTAAAAACGATGTAACAGAGTAATTAATAGTTAATCAATGTATTTATTTACCAGGGACTCGACAACAAGAACGAAAGAAGAACGAGCGTGGCGATGGTGGCAGGACGCAGGGTTGCGCGCACTGAACAGACGCAGGCGTGACGTCAGAGAAACCACGAAGTACATAGAGACAGCCCTGGTGATTGACAAGGCTATGTTTGACAGAAGAAACGGCAGCACCAGGTCGGAGGTTGTCCATGATGCTATTCAAGTGGCTAACATTGCTGATCTGGTGAGTTGACTTTCAAATATTTAGCCTACTGCTTCTGATAGTCCGTTTAGTATACTTTGTTGTAATGGTGACTTTTAACAAAAACGTACTGAAACCATAAAATGTATGTCTACGTTGGGGACATAATCATGCCATTTTTGAAATTGTACGTTCTAAAATCATTATTCATATTTCTACTTAGCAGAAACAAGGCGTTTAACAGTAGTGTAATAAATGGAAGTAGGTACCCGAAATACTGCGCCTGACGTGGTTTAGAGCCTATTCCTAACCGAATATAAGATTTACGATGCGCCTAATCATTAGGCCCTTAGTTTATTTTACTACTTGCTTAAGACTACGCAGTGTGTGCCCGTGATAATGTTATAGACAAGATAAAAACACCGAAACTGTTCCTTTCTTTATAACTATTTTATGTACCACGTTGTAAGAAGTCTACTACACCATAATACAAATCCGAGGCACTATCGTATTATGGTAGACAGAATAGTTATATTTCCTCCCTAGACTCCCGAATCCCCGTATCCTCCACAATCATCAAATTCCCATTTTCCAAAAGGCCGGTAACACACTTGTAATGCCTTGGTGTTTCGAGTGTCCATAGGCGGCGCCGATTGCTTACCATGAGGTGATCTGTCTGCTTGATTACCGGCTTATGTTGTAAAAAAACAAATCTTCCTATTTAATACTATCAACATTCTAGAAAAAACAAAAGAATAAATTCTCTAATAAACATCTTCACTCAAACATAATTAAAGGAAGCGTAAAACAGTAAAATGGTCGGGCCACGTCATGTCATATGTCGTCACACGGCTCTGTCATGTGTCAGGTGTCACGAGGGTACAACAAATTATGATGAGCAACGCTCTAGTGTTTCCATGTAGACCTGACAACCAACACTTCGGGCTTACATACATTTTATACAAAAAGGTATGAGACAAAGATGTATTATTATTTTTGTTGAGTTTATTTGTAAGTATATTGCTCAGTTACTTCACAATTTCAAATATTTTAATGTACATCTGTACATTCGGTGACTTGTTTTAAGAGCGTAATAATAATGAATATGTGTAAATAGTTGTTAAGTTACAATAATGTGTATAGCTCCCGCCATTTCCCTGAACGTGACTTCTGTCTTTACAATTCTTCTTATTTTACAATTAATAAACCGCTAGAAAAGTCCTTCCGAGTAAGCATTGCGTTTAGTAATCTTCTTCATCAATCAAATCAACAGATCTCATTTATTTCCGAACATCCAGTTGAATTCTAAAATTGAATTTAAATTCGTTACGGATAAACCTCCATATTGTCTGTTAATTATTCGACACGGTTCGGTGTTTCGTCTGTATTTTATTTAATCATACTTTTTAGTTACGTATTTTCGATTTAAATGACGAAAAGGTTTTGTTGTCTATTTAATTCATTTATATTTTGATCTTTCTTTATGATGGAATAGCGATTATGTCCCACAAATCCTCTGGTTTGATCCTAAGTGCCAAGTCGAACTAAATAAAGACGTTCTTCGAAGAAGATATTTAACAATATTAATAAGTATAATTTAAAAACTATTACAGCCCTTTTATTAATTCGTAGAAGTGATAAACAGATTTAGTCTGAATAACAGTTCAAGGTCTAAATCACAAAAACGAGGAAGATAACTTTGTTAACTCCTAAAAAAAGAATTATTGTCGTGCAGAGCCTATGCTACCACAGAAACTGTGCGAAACTCGGAAAGTTTCAATCATATTCAGTGAGTCCCGTAACTCATAAACTCATTAAAAGTTTTTTACCTCGAAAATAAGTAATGCTTGTCGAAAATTCAATTTTTGGGTTAATCAAAACGTTTTGCTAGGTTATAATAGGGTGTTCCGGGTTTAAAACAGAGCCGAACAGCCAATTTTCTGCTTAACGAAGTTTTCCCTACATGCGGGTCGCTAGTTGCGTGCTCTGTGCTCTGTGCCACTCGTAGATGAAAAATGTTGCTCCGAAAACGTTTCGTATGGTATCAAAAATTGTGGCATATGATACGAAACATTACTTTTATCACTATTACTATAGAGATTGAGATTAACTCGTCGAGTACCGTATTTATAGACACAATTAAAGAACAATAGGTCGCGGTCACCGGTGACCGCTTGGTGTTTGACAGTTTAATAAACTATATCTGTCTACCAAGACAGAGATAGTTTATTATTATACCACCTTTTAAATGTTTCTATATCGTTTGATATTGATGACGAATCTACACATCATACATACGAGTAGGCAACTTCAATGGCTTTCGGTTCTGTTTATTGCGATATTTCTTAAATAAAAAATCCTTGTGTCAACTAATATTATTAGCAACAAAAACAGATATTTAAATGTCCCCTTTGTTCCTACAGTATTTCCGTACGTTGAACACCCGGGTATCCCTGGTGTACATCGAGTCCTGGCAGAGTGCAGACCAGGCAGACATCGACCGAAAGCAGGACATCACCCGCGCCATACACAAGTTCAGCGACTACACTGCTCGGAAACTGTTCAAGATTGAGAAAGACACTACACAGTTGCTCACGTGAGTAAAATGAGAAATGTGAATGCTTTTAGATGTATTTTGATAATTGACATTTTAAGTTAACGATCAAGGCTTGATATACCTCTAGTTATAATACAGTTTGAAGTGTGGTCGAGTCAATGTTATTGGTTATTGTTTGGTACTTATTCACAAAGATACAAAGGTTTCAGTAGGTACAACCTATCAATAACTAGTGTTATTATGTCGCATTTTCACTTCAAAGTTTTAAGGTTAATAAAACAACCAAACGTAAAAAGAAATCAAATCCAATTAATTCTATCACTGCACATCTTCAACCGAATGTCACTAAATACTTCCACAAATTACAAGTTTCTGTTCAGAAATGAATTCACGAATAAATTAGAACCAGATTAATACGATTCATATTAAGCGATAAACAACATTTAAAATGAAACTACATAGCAGGGTTTAAGTTTAATCTTTGAAAGTAAATCTTGTTACCAAGCAGATTTTGTTTCACAATTCAGACGCAACTTTCGGATGTACGGGGAAGAGAAATAACACTCCTTACATTGCATTTTATGAAAGCGTCCCTCCTCGCCTGCATTTTGTACTAAAGTAATACAAATATTTCGCAAGAGACGTTTCAACCGGCAAGCGAGGCTCCACAAATCTGCTTACAAAACCCTTTTCACTTTGAACGAACGAAATTGCTAGATAGACAGTTGCCAGTGCGCTAAACAGCTCGAAAATTAATCTCGAAAGCGAACGAGGTCGAGAATTAATTCGAGCGATAAACGAATCTGACGAAAAGCGTTACAGCGCTCATGTTGCCTCATTTTAAACTTTAACCTCCTCGTTTTTGAGGTTACATTCGCTTGGATTTACGACCCTCGAAATATCATCGGCTATTATCGCTCTAATTTTACAAATTACTAGGAATCCGCGGTAATGTTTCCGACAGCCGGTATCCTGTCATAATTTAGGATGTCGGCTGCAGATACACGCCGATATCGTGGGACGTTAGTGTCTCCGATACGAGCGGAGTATTTCTGGGACTGTCGTGTGAATGATTGATGTCTATCAAATATTTACGAGTGCTGTATCCTGAAATGGCTCCGATCCTTCGGGAAAGAATGCCGCCAACGGATTGACAGTCGAACAATGCGGTCTTGGCATTTATTGCCCGTTTTTTTGGGATATCGCTGAATCTACATATTCATTTTGTGTCGATGTGAGCTTTCAGGAATCTGGCCAAGTAGATCGATGACGAGGCATGACGTAACCGAACTATGAGCTTTGTGTTTATGTCTATGTAATACTCGTGTATATATTTGCTCAGTGAACCATCATGGACGTATATTATGCCGGTATATTTCGTGGAAGCGGTCGTTCCATTGTGTTGAGGTTAGCCATCCATAAGTTAGTAAGAATTGAATACAATATAAGATACGTTCGATACAGAAAGTAATCTGAACCTGTACTAGATATTTTAGGACCTCCCTTACGATACGTTTATCTTCGGGTATTATTTCGTCCGTGTTCAATGATACAAACTAAAGCATTGTTATTAATTTATGTATTTCCCGGGTCCGTCGTCCGGACTCAATACAAACAAGGCTAAGGCAATAACACTCCGTAGTAAAATTAGTCTGTCCACTAATCCTTCATCGCGTACATACACAAACAGAAATTCTATCTAATTACCAACGTCGCTTTGTGCATGGAGTTTAGAAACTAAATGAGTTTTGAATTGACAAAATGAAAAAAAATGAACAATATTAAACCAGTATAATCTAAATTTCAAACGCTTTGAAAATTCGGAACAGGTTTTTCCAAAAATAAAATCATTCTACATCCCCTTCTCATTCAGAGGATCAGTAAATTCTCCAGTTAAATACCTTCAAACTCTATATTTTGCGCTCAAAAACATGAAGAGGACTAACAAATATATTATTAATGAATACCATACATGTAACTAGGTTAAAAAAATCCAAGTGATTGGTTTCCAATGCTCACCTGGCGACGTGCTTCGAATATTTGTTACAATTGCCACGGTTTTATGACTGCCACCCAGTACGGGACCCGCGCAGCTTGATTAGATAGATATAAAATGTAGCCACTTTTATGCCTATGCGGTATACCTCCTGGATTTATGAGTATTCTACAAAACTTCCAAAGGTATGGCTTGTATAGATTTGCCAAGTTATGACTGTTTTGTTTTGTTCAGGCTTTGGTTTTTAGGAGCCTGTTAACTATTCATCGATAGTTAAAACTTTGTAGACGTAAAAACTATTTCATTGACTACCATAAAGTGTTAATAACATATCTCATCTATAATACTGGCGGAACAGAAAAAGATGCCTGATGAAGATTATAAACTTAATCAAAACAAAAGCTTCCAATTTCAAAATCAATCAGATCAGCCCGCAAACAGTTCTTTTTTCTAATTATCTCTTAACGTCTGCTACAAAAGGATCTAAGATGGCGTCGATGACGTCAGCGCTATCGCTTGTTGGCGAAGTAATTCAACTATAATTTCCGATATCCGAGTCGAATCGGTTCTCGTGGAAGTGTGCCCGCTCTTTGAGCATCGAGTGTACCTTTGAAAGTTGTGTTCCGAAGTACTTGACGATTGAAAACATACGGAAAAGCGGGTACGGCGTGCGTCGTGGCGTACTTGAATGAATGTTGCAAACTAGTAGTGTTGCACTTTTTATTTTATCGTGTCGCAGGTCGTAGCTCGATTGGAGATGCCAGATTGTAGTGGCAATGTTCGATACTAGAAAATGTCAATGGTGCACAAGAGATTCTGTTCAATGTTTGTATAATAATTATTTATAAAGTGTACAATCTGATGTTTGTTTACGGTGTAATATTTAGGTAATTCGAAGAGTTAAGATATTCCTTATCGGAAGGCGAAAGAACCTAGAAAAAAAGCTACAATAACTACTCTTATCTTAATCTTTAACAGAGCGCTTTACGCTGATCTTTATCAAATACTTATAAGAACTGAACACTACACACAATAAGTCAGGTACGCCATTTTGTCTTTATTCGGTATATTCCAATTCGTAATATTTCCTCAGCTTGTGACGTTATCGCGTTGTGTTACAAACTTTGTCAAATTCGCCTTCGATCACAAAACTCGATAAGCGATCACGAATACTAGATGATAACCATTTTCTAAGAATTTCTATTAAAGACTTCGATTATATTGGTCCCCTTTTCATTTTTAAAGAAGAAGACTTAAAAACCTTTAGATTTAATAGAGAAATAGTGATAACAAAATTTAGACAAAGTATCGTGAGGTTTATTGGTTTTTCAAAAACTATCATTGTATCCTCACATAACATAGTCTACCAAGTATATTATATTACCAAAAGCATTAATACAGAATAACCGAGCAATTAATATCTCATATACGCACATCCTCCACAACGCGGCCTCATCATTTATTTACAAAGAGGACAATATACCGCGCATGTGGCCTTAATCCGCCTTATGTCTGTATAATAGCCAAAAACGCTTGATTATTATAATTTTTATGGCCTAACAGACGTACCTAATTGTTTTAGAGGCCCCAGTGTGGCGATAATCCCTTTGTGAGTGAAAATGCGTTTATTTTTAATGGTATGTCTTATTAAGTAAGGGCACAAATGATTGCATGATACCTACTCGTACCAGAGACAATTAAAATGGCCGCTGCTATTATTTTCAAACGCTTTTGTTTTAATAATGTTTTACCGTTAACTTTTTAATGTTTTATTTAACGTTTTAATCAAAATCAGGTTTTTATATACCACGTATTTTTGTTTACAATTGTCGTAGCGTATGTAACGCTAAGTATAACCCACAGAACACATTTAAAAATGAACATAATATTATAAACAAATAAAGAGAAAACTCAGAAATGTAACTCGTATAAAATTTAAACAAATTAAACAGTTTCCATGCAAAGAACTTGAGTTATAAAGACGTATGAGCAATTCATAAGAAGATTCATCTTAGTTGAGTCGTTGCATACGGAGTGAGGTACACAAAGTTCAACCAAAGTGCTACGTGAAGTCGGTACAAAATGTATATACATATCAAATTATACCATGTTTGAAATATACCAGTTACTTTGACTGGAGACGTTTTGTAGTACCTAAGTTTTTTGTTAATTTGAAAGTTGATGTCATTTGTGCCTTTTTAAATGGAGAATATCTTTTAAAGACATTCTTCATTTACATCATTCTTGAACAAAATTCTGATATACGATATTTCATCATTAAAACTATTTAAACAAACAAGCCAAGAATTTAGAACAAGAACTTCCATTTAAGACCCCAGCATAATAATCCGTGCTCTTCCTTGCAGCGGGCTGACGTTCCCGGGAGGTGAGTCCGGGATATCAGTCCCGGACACGCTGTGCACGCCCAAGTCTGTGGGCATATCCGTGGACACCAACACTTACGAGCCCCACCTGCTTGCTGGGACCATGGCACATATGATTGGACACAATATTGGTAAGTAAAGATTAAAGTCTACTTTCCATTTTACAATACATACATACATAATTTCACGCTGTCTCCCATGGGGGTAGGCAGAGACTAGGAAACGCCAATTACTACGATACCATTTTACTTTTTATATTTATCAATGTGAGAGTTTTTATGGAGAGTATAATATAACTATCGTGTAACAAACTTACTTAATAAAAATAAATAAAATAACGCCTTTCACACGAAAACTGCTCATCAATAAGAGTCCCGTTGTTACCGGAAACTAATAGAGCCTTTCTCAATTGTGGATAAACCGTTATTTTCAATTAACATGATAGACTTTTTGTACCACGTACATTCTATTTTCAACTACAGCAGGTCATATCAAAGTAACTTGGGCTGGCAGTTCAATTTAAAAATAAATTACTGTACCAGGGAGAGAAACTCGTCCCCAAACGTAGAAAAATGTTCGAAACAGAACAGAATAAGCAAGAAATACTATGATCCCTTTTGTCATCCGGCAAAAATTGTTAGGTACCCTTGATTGACAATATCTTTTTCCATAGGTATGGGCCACGACGACGGTCGGGAGCAATGCTTCTGCCGCGACTGGCACGGCTGCATCATGGCGCAGTCCATCGTGGGCTCCGACAACGTGCAGCCCTACAAGTTCTCCGACTGCTCCAAGAATGACTACATCAACGAACTCAGGGTCGGACAGGGACTGTGCTTGCTCAATAAACCTAATGAGGTAGGTTAAGCTCTCATTTTATTTACATTTAGTTCAAGATCTTTTTATGGTCTTGGGGCGTGTGCAACTACACGAAACAGAGTTTGGAAAAATTGCTTTTAAACTTCTCACACGAAATTCGATTTGACGATTAATTGGATTACAACGAGTAAGCCAAAGATCATTCTAATTGTTTTAAATCAATATCAAAATTTAGTCTACTTTTCGGTATCCTCTATTCGATTAAGTAAATCGTTAAATCCTTAAGAGATTTCGCAAATAAAGATACTTATTTAATGTGTCATAAATTATTTAAATTGTAATTGCTCAGTATTAGTGACCAATTTTTCAAAAACGAAATCCGAAAGCATTTGTCTATTAGATTAATTTGGTTCACAAACAAGTCCAATTTGTTAATTGAAGTCGAAAACTTTTACATAATAAAATGATATCACAGAATTAACAAATAGATTTTTGATTTATTAATTTGTAAATAGTGTTATTTAAAGTAACAATTCGCATAAAGTTCAATTTACTATACCGTTATAAAACCACCACCGCAACTGTTGTGGTCATAGAATCAGTATTAATAAATAAGCCTTTTCATTGGAATCCTAACTAAAATCTATTAACAGGTTCAACAAAATTAATTTCAATACTACTAATATATTAATATTTAACTTAATTCCTTTCTAAACACCTATAATGGGTAATAAAACAAATTACAATCAGATTAAAACATTTCTAGTATAAATGAATGAGATTGAAGTCTTAGAACTTAGCTATTTAAACTTTAATTAACTCGGAATCGTAAAATCAAATTCAATCGAGTCCATCTCTGAGGGAAATCAGTTTAATTCGCGATAAAAACGATGAGATCCGTTGGAAAACTCGATGACTCGATGTAGGTTAAGGTTGATGACAAGATTTTAATATCTAATCCTGCTAATGCACACTACTACGTCTGTTTGTATGTCTATTAATATAAAAAATATTAAGTTTGGTTTTATAAACTATTTTGGTTTTAACTTTAACCTGAGTGAAAATTAGTTTTACAAAATGTCTGCCCGCACGCATATTCATACCTAACAGCTACTACATACATACATAGGTACATATGTACATGTGTATATTACAAAGTTGGATCCGGCATTGTGTGAATAGGTCGAGAACTCATCATCGCCACTTCCACGCAAGAGTTAATTCGAATTCAAAACAGATTTTCACGTTGAAAATTAATCAGACGCCGTCGTATTGTTTGTCGTCAACGCTCTAAGGCCCACTCCTTTAATAAAAGTTATGGTAATACCGGCTGCCCTCGCGCTCCGAATCATCTCTTCGTTTGCGAATATATAATAACAGGAACGAACGCCAGCCAAGGTTTATTGGAATAAATTTGCATAGTCAGGAATGATAATGCGGAGCCCTGGTACTCCCCTTCGATTTCTCACGTTTACATATTTATCGGGGGATGATTGTGAGCCAATGCCTTTATTTTCCTCTGGCGGTTCATGGCTGCTCATAGTAATGCGTGATTTGTTATCCGATGTTCGAACTTATTCTGCTGTTGATATCTCATCACTTTGTGAATGACCTCGTTGTGTGCAAGTTACTTTTCAGAATTTGTGTTTTTGATTCACGGCGGCTCTTCGTGACGTATCGAGTTCTTGAACATTTTTTTGTAAAAGAAAATTCTTGAACAAGTATTTATATCTTATAGTTTTAAATTCTAAGTTCCTTTTGAACAAATTCTGTTTGAATTTGTTGACTTTTCTCATCATTCCTTATCGTATTCTTATACCTGTTCTACATTTACTGACATAAAAACCTCGAGATATGTAAACTCAATACAAACATGTGCGCGCCACACCCCGTACCCTTTGGGCATTCTAAAATGTTTCTCTTGTACTACTAATGCTTTTTTCACTGAGTTTGACATGATACACGACGCTACGCATCTTTTACTGATTCAAGGTTTTCTTAAGATATAAATAAGGTATAAAATCATCGATGTATTCGAGTGGTTTATTCTTATATGGTACGTAAAAAATAAGTGGATGGATAGATCTTCATTTTTTTACCTATTATAAAGTTAAGTGTATTTCTGTGTTAATGTGTAAATCCCTTTATAAATTGAACTACCTAATGTTCTGGACGGGACTGTATTACAGGTTAAATACCACTGATTTTTTTTAATATGGTAAATATCCTTCTACCTAATACTTCGTTCGTCATCCAATTATTACACCTACCAGTGATAAAAATCACCATTTCATTGTACGCAGTTGGTGATGCACCATTTATGTGGCAACGGACGGCTGGACGAGGGCGAGGAGTGTGACTGTGGCACTCTATCGGAGTGCCAGAACAGTAACCCGTGCTGCGACCCCTTCACCTGCCGCCTCACCAAGGAGTCGCAGTGTGCTTCTGGAGAGTGCTGCGAAAGGTGTCAGGTAAGGCCATGTGGTTGTTACGTAAACAGCTTGTAAGAAATTATTTCCGCAACAGTTGTTCTAAATATGGCTAAATATGTTATCTAATCTTGCGTCAGATAACTTTTCTTAAATAAGAAATAATGTCCGAGTAGAAGATAAGCTTCTAAGAACATGGTTAGTTTATGTAATATCTTCGTCAGAAAATCTATGTTTCAATTTTATTGTCAACAACATTTCTGCAACAGATTCAATACGATTTACGTCGCAGACAAGTTTCTCGTTGTTATTTGATTCGTTGAACTGTGCATTTGAAATCTATTGTATATTGATAAGTCTCGCTCCACTGACAGTAATAAATCAGGCGTAAATTACCTACAAGACTTCCAAGTCTAGATCTTTGATTTCAGCGAACTCAGAATTCTAGACCTTAAGCACTGAACAACGGCCGTCATTTAAATACGAGTCTCACAGTCGAAACATATTTGCATTTTGTTCAGGCAAATGTATTCCAACTAATTTACAACGCAATGTCTGAATTTCATCAGTTTTAAAACTGATTAATGTTCCAAGCTGTGTGTCATAATGTTGAATAATACAAAGTTAATGCCACATAAAGTTTTGGACAACTATGCAAATGCGACGCTCGGAACCGCAAAAAGAGTGATTTACTTGGAAATTAGGGGGAGAGCACAATTGTGTGACGTATGTACGAACATACATACATGACATGTTTGTTAACCTGTTTGTGTGAGGAAATATTGTTATCCTGTGTATTGCTAATCAGATTTTCTGTGCGTTATAAACTAACAGCAGCATTTTGATAATCTACTAGTTAGGTCAGTAGGTTATGTCATTAGATAGTAAAGTTTTCAATTGAATGCACATGAACAACATGTGGTTATCAATCAACAGCTGAAACCACGTGGCGTGACCTGCCGGGACGCTACCAATGAATGTGATCTAGAAGAGACATGTACGGGCCTGTCCGGAGTCTGTCCTCCTGACGCACATCGGAAGAATGGCGAGCCCTGCCAGGCCGGCAATGGAGCCTGCTTCTCGGGACAGTGTCCCACATTGTCCCTCCAATGTGAGAAGATCTGGGGCCAAGGGTCATTAGGAGCTAAAAAGGAATGCTTTGAGGAGTATAATTCTAAAGGAACTGTGACTGGACATTGCGGAAAGGATAACAGCGGACATTTTATTAAGTGTGATCCTGAGTGAGTACTCTTATAATTATTTTAACCTCATCAAAGTAATTATGAACTCGAAAGCCTTTGACCAACGCATACTTATGCAACTCTTTAACTGCGTACTGACTTTAATAGGTAACGATAGCGATTTGGCTTTGTCATTGAACTTCTGAGAAGACCTTCATCCGTCTTTCTACCAACACAACATTATACAGTTTTGAAAGCTTAATATATAATTGTTGATTCTGAAACCTCTCAGCATTTTCTTTTTAATAATGGTACCTTCATATGCTATTCGATATCTATTAATTGTACGTATATGTATGATCCCCAGAAATGCTCGCTGTGGTTCCCTGCAGTGTCAGCTGGGTAACCGCTACCCCATAGTGCCGGGAATGGACGACTATTACACAAAAATCTACATCAACAACAAGGGTACCGAGTTTGAATGCAAGTGAGTATGCTACGTTCAATACAGCTAGACGATTCTGATATTTTTTATTAGCTCAATCGCGGTCTGCCATGTTATTGGTTATGAGAATAATCTCGACCAATGACGGGCGAGAATGCGATCGAGCTCCATTCAAAAGTTTAAATGAACAGTTACAGAATAGCCTAGCTGGACGGTAAAATTAAATAATCATAATAATATGATTTACAATGGATAGATGATATTTTTACACTTGTATCATAATCAAAACCTATGCTTGGCTTGATGATAAAGGACATTTATTGCTTTTATCTAGTAATTTAACATTATATATTCTTCTGAACGCCAATCTCTTCCCGCCTTCCAGAGCCACGACAGGTCTTCCAAAACCTTCGGAGATAGCTCCCCTCGGGCTGGTGAGGGACGGCACCCCGTGCGGAGACAATCTCGTCTGCGTCAACCAAACCTGCACCTCCATCTTCACATACATCGACCACATCAATAAGTGTCCTACTGACGATAAAAACAACGAGTGCTCTGGAAAAGGGGTAAGTTGAACTATAATAATTTTGTGTGTATTATTAATAGAGAAGGCTTGTAAGATTTGACTGCATGGTTGGTGTGGTGGCTGCGCAACTGAGTGAGGTTACCGGAAGCCCAATTACCCTCCCCTTCCCCAATCTCCCCAATTCCTGAATCTCCAACGATCCTCAAACTCCTAATCCCAAAAGGCCGGTAAAGCACTTGTAACGCCTCTGGTGTTCCAGATGTCCATGAGCGACGCCGATTGGTAACCATCAGGTGATCCGTCTGCTCGTTTACCGGTTTAAACCATAAAAAATAAACATGAACCTTTTAAACGTCAAACATGTCCAGTGAATATGACGTAAATTGTAACAAAGCCTTCAAACTCCAGAACTTCCATTATTCTACCATTAAAACCCGCTCCGTATATTACACTGACATCAGTTTAAACCACATCGTATCATAACTAAACGTATAAACGTAACGCGTTTGACGGCAGCGGTGAAGCAAAAATTGAATAACACGCGGCCCGAGCCACCACTCAAACTATTAAAAAGTAACTGTACATGACTCGCGAACGTATAAAAATATACAACGTACTTATTTACTAAGTTCTAGGTTTTAGATTTTATAGATACAATCGAGTGTGTGTAGCTTGATTTTGGAGCTAAGTGAATCAGAATTCCTTTCTTGTTAAGTTTTTACTTTAAATTTTGTACAAAATATATTATGATTTATATCTCTAAAAATACATAGGTATGAAATATACAGATACACCTGTTTTAATAGACCTACAGGTAGTTTACTCTGCATATTCTTCACTTCTCAAGTTAAATAGTAGCTACTTATTATGTTTCCATACAAAAGCACATTACGAAAATGGTTTTATATATATAAAATAAATAAACCATAATATATTTTTATAACTTAAAGGTTATAAAAATCAAGGTTTTTTAAACAAAATACATTACTTACTGAAAAACATATCGTGGGTATCGAAAAAACGTACATTTTTACGATATTCATAATATCCATATAAAAACTAAAAGGATTAATTAAATTAAAAGGATTTAATTTACATAAATGAACAACACCCCGATATCGAAGCAATGGATGATACATTTTCAGTAATATTCGTACATTTGTTACGTAATCTAAAAAATATTAACTCGTTTAGAACACATTACATAACATTGAATTCTCTCGTTATATGAAGATCTGGTTTACTGATACAGTGCTATCGATACCCTGATTCAAAAAAAAACGTTGCCCTAGTGTATGATTTTCTCCTGTGTCGTGGTCTCGTGGATCCATCTACAAACTTACAAAGTCACATACACATGACACTGAGACCCGAGAGAGCAAACCCAAAAAGTTGCTCCGTGTGGGAATCGAACCCGTTACATATTGCGCGACAAGCACCACGATAACCGAGCAGTCGAACTACATATACGTATTTATAAAGGCTTTTTCTTTCGCAAATGACCTCTGATTAATATCATTCTGGTTTGCGTTTTTATTAACCAGTCATAGTTTTATTATACTCATTAGAAGGAAACTGGAGGAAGTATTGAAACTTGGTTACTTAGGAACAGTGACCGTGATGTACCTACTTATTAAATTGAAAAGATTTGTATACAAACTAATTAATCTCAATGTCAATTATAAAAATCATACCTGTTGCTGTGCAAAAAATGCAATGGATACATATTCTATACTAGCTACTTCCGCGCGGTTTCACACGCTCTGCTCAGCTCCTATTGGTAGTAGCGTGATGTTTTATAGCCTGTAGCCATCCTCGATAAATGCGCTATCATAATTATTCAAATCAGACTTGTAGTTACGGAGATTAGCGCGTTCAAATAAACAAACTCTTCCGCTTTATATAATAGTACAAGATATATCTATGTATAAATGGATCTATACCGGATTCATACATGTTATGGATCAAAAATGTTATGGAATCATACCAACTATTCATTACATTACATTCATAAATTAACAGATGAGGAAACATGTAATTTATTTTGTACAATATTTCATTATATTTATCGTGAAATCACACACTAACAAAACAATTAATAATATGCAAGTTCTGTTAAATACTACAATAAATTGCTAATATTAATATATTATTATATGCCTTCTAAATAAACTACATCAACAACGGCCAAAATGTACATTTCACAAATTAGCTAAACATCTATTTTAACTTAATTATTGTTGAGCTTCGAAAAGGGTCTATTTTAAAATGAATGTAATATGGCGTCTGGTTTAAAACGAATCATGTTATCTAGTGAAGGATTAATAAGTTGTTACGTTGGGTTTTAATTCAATATCATTTAATTGGGACGCGCACTACAGTTTGGACATCGTTAATTATAACTTGGGCTGTGTGAGTCCCTTAATGATGTACGCAAGTTAGAGGAAAAAGCGAATTAATTCACTGTTAGCGGTTAGAATAGGAACAGCCGCGGAGAACCTAACGGGTTACCGGGGCTTCGGCTCGACTTGCTGGAGAAGGAACGGAGTGGTTTTTAGTCAGAAAGAGTCTGACACTCCCTCCCGCCTCACCCAGGCAGGAGCAGTTATTCGATGATTTTCCCCCGTTAAAAAAAGAAGCAGTACCAATATAATATTTTCCCGTGTAATAATAAAATTACTGGAATAATAATTTAATAAAAGTGTACCTACATTCACTATAGCGTCACTTATCTTACTTCTTAATTGTAGGTTCCTTTTAACACAGAAGAAATTCATGACAAAATACTTATTAAAATATTTTTTGCCGGATCTTAATTAAAACGTTTTGGTTCACTCCTCTAAGAGGACTTTTTGGATCCTTTATAGAATATTACTTTAAGCAAAATAAATATTTCTAACCATATTGGTATAGTTTCCTTTAACTTGTGCCACCGAGAGTCACCTCTGAAGCTTTGGTAATTAGGAGGGCAGTGAATTCGTAAAATTGTAATTAGCAAGTAGACCTGTGACCCGCCTGCTTTGTGTAACACAGCATCTAAATTTAGCCGACTGTTTGTTATTATCCTCGTTAGTAAATGTAACTATGTTTTCATCATTAAAAGTACAGCATGGCAAAGAGTTGAATAACAGTGCACTCCAAGTACATTATTTATACTACTGACTGCCTCATTGGCCGAGTGGTCGCAAGTGCGACTGCCGGGCAAGGGGTCTCGGGTTCGATTCCCGGGTCGGGCAAAGTATTACTGGGTTTTTCTCAGTGGTAGCACGGAGTCTGAAACTATGCCCGGTATATAGCAATAGGCTCACCCCCTATTACATGGGACTCATAACATAAATAGTGAAAAGTGGGTGTTACATTACAGTGGCATTAAATGCCGTAATGTGCACCTCTCTGCCTTTCGGGGATAAAAGGCGTGATGTTATGTTATGTGTCATTATTCAGACCGAGACTGTCCAAATTTTGTTCAATAATTACTCTTCCATACTTAATGTATGTATCCATACTTTATTGGATTTTATGTCCACAGAGTAAATAAACTTATAAAATAAAAGAACAAGTTGCGAAAACATAATTTAAATTCAACATCACAAGTCGGCTCATATCGCAGCCCTTACCTGACTATAAGATATCGACACACTGTTGCATATCGATATCCTTGCGAGCTACGACACAGGTGTTATCGGAGATTCATGTAACAACGAGCGTACACCGCCTATCTAGTGTCTGGTGTAGCCTTTGAATATATTGAGTGCATCGGACTAGGATTCCATTTCATATCTGAACTATATTCCTTAGTTATATATGGAAATCAAGGGATATATTAATAGCATACGTTGTAATATATTATGTGTATGGAAAATATAATATTGTAATGTATATATGTACCTGATTCTTTGCTTTATACTTACTAACCCAATTAAGATAATATTTTAATTTTTCACAAAAAAAATATGGATTACAAAATGTAATGATGCAAATGTAAGTATTGTAGTGTTACTTAAATTAAACCCAAATTTATATCGTCTGTTGTATTCCATAATTTTGTCTCATCCTTAACTTCCAACACATCCATGCAATCTCAAATCACTGACCCAAAAACTAACTAACATGTTCTTTGAACACGAAAATATTCCGACCATCATATTGAGCGAGACCGAGAATTGAAGACGAACGAAATTCGTCACAAAAATGTTGTAGCCGGCATGGCAACGTATGGAAATTTCACCGTGGCACCCTAACCAAATCTCGGTACGTCACAGCGACCCCGAGAAAATCCGATTGGTCCTGCGAACCGTGCTCTGAATTTCACCACGACCCGAATAGTTGGGCCCCAGTTACGGAGGAAATTGTTTAAATAGTAACTTTATAGGGTACCGGTTAAATATGTAGTTTACCGAAGAGTTCACCGCTAGATTTGTTAGTTAGTGTTTACGAGGACAAGTGGATTATTGAATTTAAAGTAGAATTAGTGTACATTTCGTTTATAGTTATGATCGAATTTAATTTAAAGTTAAGTTTTATTTCTAAAAATATTCAACTAAACTACGATTTAGACATTCATAAATTTTAATACTTATTCATAACAATGAGAAGACAATGAATCGACAAAATTCAATCAATTCAATCGAAATAATGACCAATCGACATAATTCACAATTCTCTCCTTATAAAAGATTATAATACTTATCGTTCCATGAAAAGAAAGTTTGGAACAAGACCGCTACCGCCACGTCGCAAAAATTCATTTCCACAATTCAAAATCGGTTTGGAACCTACAATTATAAAGGAACAAAGTACTTAATAGGAGTTTTTGTCATGAATAAATTTCGTATAAAGTTTTTAATAATTTTTGTCCAATCGTACCTTGCTGGCGATGAATTCACCGATCCTATTGGCTGACGATTTGTGCCAAACTCAATCCCGCCGGAATCTAGTTACCGTCGCAACTCGCTTCAAAGTCGCTTCTAATTCGTTCATTTGCATCCTTTGGAACTAAAGTGATTTATTTATTGGTGAATTTCGGAGATACTTCCTCAAATAAAGAATGTTCTCAGTTGCGATTGTGATTAAGTTATTATGAACTGTTAAAAACAATCTGGCCACTACTTTTTTAATATTTACCTACATTAATTTAGTAATGCATATTTTAGTGACTGATTTTCATCTCGTTACAGATAGTGTTAACAAATTCTAGAAGATTATACTAGAAGGTGAACAGTTTTCAGATGCTTGTTGCTATGTACAAAATCTTCTACAATTGACTAATGTTCAAAGACTCAAACGCCACTTAAATTTAAAACTTGCTCAAGTATAATTCTGTCTCTAGAAATTCTTTGTAAAATGACAAAGACAGCATGATATTTATGTACAACTTAGATTTGAGTCGTCATTCAAATCAATTCCGTCATCAAATCATTGATTCCCTAAGACATTATGACACGATGGATTAGGGGAAGTACTATACTAATCTATCTCAGAACAAAAAATATAATGCGTCGCTGCACAAAGTTAATGTAAGCTCTTGCAATCACACACTTCACAAGCGAGGCACCAATAGTACCAACCACTGGCCTCCAATTTGTGGCAGTTAGGTAATACGAATCGATTCCAACGCAAAATTAATTCCCTTAATATCAGTAGAAGTTGTTCTAAGTCTAGAATTGATTCGACGCTAGTAAGTTTCGACTGTTACTGACTATGTTTGTGGAAGCCAAATGGGATAACTTTGGATACGTTTTATTTGAATCGCTTTGTGAATTGATGTGTGAAAGCCTTTGGAATTCGGTTTTAAAACGTATTTGTTGATGCAATACGTGTGTAGGTAGCTACTTATAGAGGCTTTACGTTTAATGAATTTTAGATTGTTGTTGGATATCGATTTGTGCGTGTTTAATGACTGTTTTTAACTAATTATTCGGTTTTGCTTATTAGTATAAAACCTTTTTCTATTCAAACACGATAGGGCTCAGCCTTTAAACAGCTAAGTCAGGATACATATTCACGAGATTTGACTGAAACCTAAATATTTTTATCTACTTCGATTGGACAAAAATTATACATCTATACTACACGGCTACGGTACTGAATAAAATTCTATCTCCTGACCAACTGCAAAAAGAACAAATTACTTTTTATTTTTGTCTGTTTACCTTTACTTAAGATCATCATCTCTAATTCCAGGTGTGTTCGAACCTGAACCAGTGTGTTTGCAACCGTGGCTGGACAGGTCCAGACTGCTCACACCACGACGAACTCCCCCCTTCCCCCACTCCATATTATGTTCCAGACAACAGCACAAAAGCTGCCTATAACATGACCAAGAAGGAAACACCGTATGGTGAGTCGAAACCAGTAATATAAGCTTAGACTAAGATACTAATATTAAAATAACAATGTTTGTCGAAATTATAATGAAAATCTGATCTTTAATATCAACATTTCAAATAATTTCCGATTTGTAACCTAATTCAATGATTAACTTTCAGATTTTTATAATAACTTTTACTTAGTTTGTAAGCAAATTTTAACCTATTGTATTATTTGGCCCTTCTTCAGTTTTTTTCTCTAATATTATTTGTGTATCTATGTATTTATATACTGACTGTCTTTTTTCAGTTTTTGGGGGCTTCTCTTGTAATCTTGCCACCTCGTTGATTGCGGATAAAATTATCTGCAAAAAGAACTGTAGATGAATAAATAAAAAATTTTTTGAAAGTACGAAGCGCTAACCATTGTAGCGCAAAAACAAATGCTATTTTTTACTCTCAAGACGAAGATCCGAATAATAATCTTCATTAGTATCTTTTCGTTACAAATATTCTTTTTGATTAAAAAGAACATATATTTTGTTTGATTAAACAAAATAAATAATAACACATCTTGTTCAAATTCATAAAACCGAAAGGTAAAGTAAATTTGTTCAAGGTAATGGTGGATTCAGATGAAGCTAACTTATAAACATCTTTCTTATACTTACGTATTCCTACAAATCCGTCTTCTTCCAACCCTTTTCCTTTATTTCCACAAACTATTACTTCTTCTAATACTTGTATAATTTTACTATAATTCATGTTTATGTTTTCAGGTGTTTTGTACTGTATCTATTAATATTCCCCCTACTTTATACCTACTGTAACAATTGGCCAAACATCCGAGCACTGCTTTCAAAATTACGCTGAGAGGCGTTATCATCGACATCATCGCGTATTGCATTTTGGAAGTAACAAATATCAGTAAATTAAACATTTAGAAATGCCCAAGTCTAATGTAAGATGATGACGTAACGTAAACTCTAGTACTGTAAAGTTATAAACCCCACTTGAATGGTACAGTGGTGAGTAAATACAACCCGCGGCAGTGGTAGTATCCCACGCAGTCATCAACTTACGTGAGACGGGCCCGGCACGGGTGTCCCGCTGCACGGAGCATTGCTCGGAGGGCGCGACGCGGCGGGCGGCGCCGGCGCACTAACGCGCGGGACCCCTCTCTTGCAGGTGAGCACGAGGGGAATAAGATGAGCACCATGAACATGGTGATATTGTTGCTCGCGGTCGTGCTGTCCGTGTTCGTGGGGTTCGCCTGGATGGCGTACTGCTTCAGGTAACGACCGGTAACTCGGTGTTGTCGCACTGTGTGTGTCGCTCGTGCCTGTCGTGTCGTGTCTTGTCGTGTCGTGTACGCCGACCGCGAGCCCGCGCGGCGCCGGCGCCGGCCGCCCGCTTCGCTGACGTCACACCCCGTGACGTCACCGATCGCGCCGGCCGTCACTCACTCCCTTCTGTTTGGGCGCAGAGAACTACCACGGCTCGAACACGGTTTTCCTCGTGGCGGTGCTCATGTCTGTGGTAGGGGGGGTATTCATAGTATTTGCCCTGAGCGCTCTCTGCTACAGGTCAGTCGTAGTACACAAAAACTTCTCCCTGTGCCTAAGGTTAGTGAGCAGAAAACAGACCAAAGGTAGTCTTTAAGAAGAAATTTAAATCGTCACCTTCGTATACTTGTATGTTTATTTTAGACGTTAGCGTTGGTGTTTCTGTTCGTTTTTACGTCGGCGATTGGTTTTCATTTACTTTATTATTTTTCCTTTTGGACATACGTTCTTTATGTCGTTTACTTTGTGGTCGTAGAGTTAGAGTTGGCGGGTGGCGCGTCGGCCTGGCTGGCGCGCCACAACTGCATTTGATCTGTGGTTCTGTGTCCGCGAGCGGCCGGGCCGCGCGGCCAGCCGCCTCGCCGTCCGACCGCCTCGCTGCATGCCGACAAGGCTTTCCTCGTTGTACTCGAGACACCTCGACTCAAACCCTTAAGATTCTGGGCTCTTGGATGTATGCATTGGCTTATGTGAACTGTGACTCGTTTTCGTTTCCTTTCTTGGTCGGAGGCCGCGTCGCCGGGCGCCGTACCGCGGCCCGGCGGCGCGTCGCGTCTATATCTTCCGATGTTCAATAATGTTGCGCGCGAGTTACAGATCGGAGACCGCTCCGCACGGTACGTGGTGTTGTGCCACGCCGAGGTATGTACAGTACTGTTACTATGAAACCGGAGAAGATATAGATCGCTCGACTCTAACGTCACCAATCACTTACCACTTACCACTAAATTCTATTAACTTTTGCACGAGAAGCGAATGTGCGATGCACGGATTCTTCTTTCAAGCAGCTGTCTATCTAGTTAGCAACGCCTAATGTTACATTTAAGACAAGGATCCTTCCAGCAAACCTTGCCTACCTTTTGCTTACCTAAGCGGAAATTTAATAATAATTAAACCTAAAACGCATATACATACATGTACCCTCGCTGTCCCTCGCTTTACTTTACTGGAAGGAGCCTGCACACTTTAAGCTAAGATCGATCTCTTGATATTAATTTCCATTTAACATCAATTCCCATGAGGAATGAAACGAAAAGTTGATTCTAAAGTCCAATTCAAAAATTATAAAAAGTACTTTGTTCTTGTAATATCCAAAAGCGCCAGTCTTTGCTGTCAAGTAAATTTTGAAATACTATTGAGGAATAAAAGGTGACCTTGCAATGTAACTATGTCTTTGTAATTCCGAATGTAACCTAACTTGACGCTATTACTGAGTAACATTGTTGTGTTTATACATTAACAATACCATAATTTTGACTCATCTAAAATTGTGGGCACCAAAAACTGGTTGAATATCATCTTCTATTCCTCGTTTCGAGACCCTCGGGGACGTCAGCATCTGTTGCCGTCGCCGACCTCCAATTTCGTAAACTTTATCGATTGATCTGAGTGTGCGTTCCCCACGCCACGCCTGCCTCAGGAAAAAGAGTACGTCACGAAAGTACGACCCGCCTTACGTCAAGAAGCCGATTGCGAAGAGCTTCGCAGCCGGCTCCACCACCTCTAACAACTCCCAAGAAGACATTTCTCTGGACGGAGGGAAGATGCACTCCTTCAACAACACGTTCAGGTGAGCCTGCAGCGTTTAAGATGTTTGGACATAACTTACAGATGCCATTCACACCAGATCTTAATTTTCAAACAGTAATTATTTCTCCTAATAAATGAGTCGCATCTTTAAGTTCACATCCAAACGTCTACTTCCTAAATCAAGTTTCCCTACAATTCTTGGTGTCTATAAACTAAAATAATTAATCCTTCGAGGCGTACTTTGAATAAAATCCGTTTTTTATTTTTCTCTATAAACTAAAAAACAGCTAAACGTGATTATGATAAAAAAAACTCTTTTGTTTACCCGTACTACGTAGCTACCCATTTCTAATACAGTGCAAAACTTTTTAACTAAAACAATAGATGTTGTTAACTCCTGGCATGTTTCGTATTATACTCGCTGAATGGGTACCTACGCTAAATGTATCCTCAAATTAAAATTTTCTTTCCTCTTTTTAACGGAACTCATCTACTCAAAGAAATCTTTTAAGGTATGTCGAAAGCTTTGCGTGGATTGGACTGCGCACCGCTGTTTATTTCCGCTCACACGATTTTCGCTTTTATTACACTGAGCTTAAGTCCCAGTACGCTTTGGACTAGAACAGGTCTTTGAGCAAACTGCAATTTTTATTTGTGTGTTCACAACATGATAGAGCACTCACAAAAGACACGCTTTTTCTTTATACATTTTTGTTGATAGAAAATAAAGAGTTTAGTCCATACTTAGATACACTTTGCACCTCAAATTCTTCCTATCGTATGAGAACAGCCAGATTTTGAGACATTTGCAACGTAGGTGAATAATATAAGCTTTATATTTATAAAAGCAGAATCACATGAAACAATAAGTACATGCTTGTTGGGTAACTAAAATCATTGTTCACATTATTCGCGTTGGACATCACTAATGAGTTCGTCTTTCTAATCATAAACTGAATGAAGTTGTAGGAAAATTTCTAAAAGCAATTTGTATGTACAGTCGGGGAGACTCCCAGCGCGTGATCTTCAGACATGGCAACCACATGTCAGGCTCTGGCAGTACCAGTAGATACCCGTAAGTGATTTTTATATCAACAAGGAAATGTGAATCCTATATATAGTACCGTTAGAATTATAATTGGCTGACCTTCTAAGATTTCCAGGCAACTGCACGAATCAGTCGACGTGTAAGTCAGTGTAATAAAAGTGAAATTGCATGGAAACCTCAGAAATACATTCGGATCATTTTTAGCAATATTTGTTAGTGGATCATCTTGCATCACTTTTGTAACATGTTTTCATTTTCCTTTATTTCAGAGATCACAAACAAATGAAAAGAGTTCACTCTGGCAGTGAAGACGAGCCCACTCATTCAGGTAAGTAGTATTCAACTTGGCCCAGTAACTTCATGAATGAACTGAAATACATATAATTATAAATATTCTAACTGAATTCACGCAAGTTATAATATTATTCTTAATATTTCCTTCAAAACTTCCAGGTGAAGAAGACATAGCATTTATTGACGTAGCCCAGAATTCAATGGCAAAACTTCCAGAAAAGGGAATCCTAAAGAAGCATGGATATGGTGCAGTAGACGGCAAGGACAAGTGGGGAGATGACTCCCAGTCTGAACAACTGGAAGCTGGTTCTCAATCTGATGGACAGGAGCCGGCTGGAGCCGTCGCTGATATGGAATATAAGTTTAAGGTAAGAATCAAAGGAAGAATAACTAACAATCTTAAAAATGCATAGTTTAATTCTCCTTCTTCTTTAACGTATCTACACCGTGCCACGAATAGCGAGGATGACTAAGATCCGTACTAACATACGTAATAATTTTAAATAATATTTAATTTGATCTACACTTCATTTTCAGGACCTAAATGGATACCATGAAAATATAATCGTAGCACTAAAGACTGCTGCGGCCCAACGTGCTGCGGGTGCAGGGGGCATAGCGGTCGGCTCCGGAGACCTGCGAGCATTGCAAGAGTATGAGTACAATAAGCGAGAGCGAGCGCCCTCTGCTGAGAAGATCCACGAAACTGAACTTCGCCGACAGCGCAATGATGACGAGGAAGATGAACCTCCACAATGTGGACCTATCCGCATTCGCAACCTTGAGGATCTCATCCGACAGCTCGAGCACCATTCCAGCAGACACATGAGCCCCTCAGGATCCGAAGATATCAGGATGTCGGAGACAGAGGCCGATAGACACTATAGAATTGAACCTGGAGATATAGCAGCCGCGTAAGTAATTTTTCTGTTACCAGAATACAAGGTTAAAATTTGATGTTATTTTGGACTCTTTAGCCAAAAAATCATTGAGAGATTCGACAATAGTAAAAGTAATGTGGGGTTAGACAATAGTAAAATCACGATTTTACTTGATTATAGTAGATGTCGCGGTCGTATCGGTGGCGGCGAAGAGGAGTCTCGGTTCGGCTACCCTCGGTTCCGCGGCAGCGGGCGCCACCACGGGCCGCTGTTCGGCGGCGCGGCGGCGGGCGCGGGCGCCGCGCTGCCCCCGCACGCGGGCCACGCGCTGCCCGCGCCGCACGCGCCGCACGCGCCGCACGCGCCGCACGCCCCGCACGCGCCGCACGTCCCGCACGCCGCGCACTCCCCGCACGCCGCGCACTCCGGCCTGGCGGGCCACGCGCGCCCGCCGCCCGACGACGACGCGCTCTATGAGACCGCCGACGCCGAAAGACTTCGGGATGCCCCCGACAGTGAGAGGTGAGCATCACTTCTCGTTCTAATCGACTCTAGTCGATGATTCACTCCCCATTGGCACTCAAATATAAACACTACATTTCCAAAATTAATAAAACAAATTTTAATAATATGATTTTATTTACCGTGGAAATGATTTTTGCAATAATTATCAGGATTTTCTTAATTTTAACAAATACCTGAATTTTTAAGTGTTTTTCCGCAACAGAACAATTTTTGGCTAAACGTTTAATGGTTTATTCACATTTCTATTTGGCAAGTTGACTAGTTTCAAACCAAACTAAAGCGCATGATATTAAAAAGTAGTATTGTGACGCGATTAACTTTTTGATTTAACCTTTTTCTAGCTTAAGAATCATTTCCATGACATAATTTTACTTAACTACACAAATACGCACACAGCGGCCACAGCGGGCCCCGCGGGACGCGCAGAGCGCTCTCGGGGCCCGCGGGGGCCGCGGCGCCTCGACTCTCCGTTCCTCTTCTCTATCATTTTCTAGTGATGAATTTATTCAAGCTCAACAACAGTTAGCCCGGTGGGCGAGTGAGGAGGCGGTGCCGGCGGCGCGCGGGTACCTGGCGTCGCCCGCCAGCTCGGCCAGCCCGGCGCCGGCGCCCGCCGCCGCCTTCCCCGAGTACACGCACTGACCCCGCCGGCGCGCGCGCGACACGCTCGAGGCGGTCGCGACCCACACGTCCTAGGCTACTAGATATCGATGTATCCAGCTCTGTCTGCACTGTTAGGGTAAGCACGTCGACTAGTTTAACCGTTAGTAAGAAACACGATAATTCTCTTCACGCGTAGTTAATCTAATAAAGGTATAGTGATCGGACGTAGGGCCGGCGTCGGCCGCGGCCGGCGCGCCGCCGCTTGTGAATACGTAGTTATCGTTAGCGAATCAGTGACTTGTAAATATTATTGACCTATGACGTACATATTAATTGCACATAAACGATATGACTGAACTTGTAACGTACTCTTAATAAACGATTTAGAGTAACCGTCGAATGTAAGTCTCGATTGGAAGTGTTTGCCTGCCGCGCCGCCGGAGGGTGATATATCTGTTACGTTGTCGTGTCTCATATGATTATATTCGTTCATCTGATCAATACGCTTTATATCTATATATCTGTTTGAGTGCCGCCACCCTGGCGGTGGTGCGGCAGATTGTATGTCTAAAGTAACTCTAAGTAACTCAGTGTATGAACGTAGCGTTAAGTGTAACTGTGCGGTGCCGAGGTCCCCCGATACGTCGAGCTCGAGTTCGCGTCACTTCCGACAGACGAAGCTCAAGTAGCTTGCAAATTAGATAGGCGATTAACAAATTGAGCTAATTCTTAAGCGAAGCTTTAATGTAACACGATGTTAGCGGGAGAGGCGAAGGCAGAGCTCGACGTCGCGTCACGACGTCATCATTTGTCCTAGAGTATCGTTTGGTTGTTAAGTTGTCCGAGTCCGTCTCATCGCGTCACTGTCAGGAGGTGGGCGACACGCAACCGTCCCCGGAGAGTCAACAACTATCGCTTTCATACTGTAATCACCTCTCCGAATATACGCCCAACTTCGTGTTCTACGTTTACGATTACGATCTTGACACGATCTAGACTTGAAGGAACACCAAAGAGGTCACAGCGCACATCTCGTATCATATTGTACCTAGTGTGTTGTTCGTTGTGTTCGCGTCGTCATCACTTAGTTCCGTAGACAGTTCAGCTCTCGATCTCGTCTCACCGTGCACTAATAAAGAAATAATTTAATTAGCCCTTAACGTACACATATTCTAAAACTTAATTAAATGTGAATAAAAGTTATTTCGATTTATCAGAATATCTATTATTATTATGTATTGACTTAAACGAATTTATGCCGATACAGATAGAGAATGTATGTTAATATGTTATAGTTTTCAAGTTTATTTTATTGTGACAATTTAGGAAGTTATCGTTTGATTCGCGTTTACGCTAGGCTAGGTGGCCCGGCCACGGAATATAAACACATTATGTAGTTAACTTACAGTTAAATTATTGAATAATGAAGTGGAGCGGCCGCGTATGGTTGCGTCACACTGGTACGATGTTCACTGGCGCTGTGAGGCTGCGCGCCCTGTTTTCGTAATTATTCTCCTAGATAATCGTTAAACCTTAAGTAAGTCTAAATAGGAACTATGAACACGTACAGGGTAGATGTTTTTGCAATACTCTGTGACTGGGTGTGGTACCGGGCGGCTGCACCCGGCGCGGCCCCGCACCGCACCCAGTAGGCGTCGCGACTGCTGCGGCGGCCGGGGGCGCCATGCCTCGGCCTAATGCCGGCCATACACGCTACGGTCTACCGGAAAGGTCCACCTGTGCAGGTATGCCTGCGCAGGTCAACCGAACATTGGTAGCGTGTATGGGTACATTCCGGTGTATCGGAGCGGTCTTCAGTTCTTTTTGCGATGGCATCGAATGTGGACGAAGACACGCTGGCATTGCTAGGTCTTGCTTTAATTTTGAAGATGAATAATACGAAAAAGAAGCGAAAAAAGTGGTGTAAGCATTGGTTATTGAAAAGAAAAACATATAGTCATGTTAATTTATTAAGTGAATTGAAATTTGAACCAGAAGATTTTAAAAACTATCTTCGAATGGACGAGAAAACATACCTTAAATTACTTGAAATGGTTACTCCTATGATAAAAAAAGAAGACACAGTTATGAGAAATAGTATTTCTGCGCACGAAAGATTATCAGTCACATTGAGATTTCTCGCAACTGGCAGAAGCTATGAGGATCTAAAATTTTCAGCAATTATTTCGCCTCAGGCACTTGGAAAAATTATTCCTGAAACATGTGAAGCTTTATATAAAGTACTCAGAAGAGATTATTTTAAGGTAAGTCATTAAAACACTGTTATATTAGAGATAATATTTATTGAAAAAAATATGTACGATTTTAATCATTAAAGTAAAAAACTGTCACGTACATACAAGTTATTCATTATGAACATTGAAATTAGTAATGAATGTCGCTGCCGAATCTAAAACTACCTCTGTTTCATTGGGCTGATTTTCTGGAACTGTAGTTGTTCGTATTTGTGGCGAGTAGGGATTGCCTTGGGAACTGTTGAGATGGTTAGTTTGAAATGATTGAGAAAGATACTCTGAATTTTGACTGGTGGGAAATAGAAAACAGGGTGGGCTAGGACTTCCGGAAGAAACAAAACTTACAGGGGTATATGCCCTATTGGAATTAGGAGAGGCCTGATATGCATGTTGTCGATATTGCTGAGCAGGAACATAGCTTCGTTGATTTTGTTTCAAAATATCTCTCATGTTAATATAGGCGTGCTCGGGAGTGAGGTTTCCTATTTCTGCTTCAAAAAGTAAATCATTAATAAGTTTTTCTGCGACTATTAATTGTTTCGCATCTAAAGCTTTCAATTTCATCGCCACGTTTTTTCCAATAATATCGCACCTATCTTCTGTTACAATTGGGCGAGGGCGCTTAAAGTGATCTCGTACCGATTCCAACACTTCATTTGCTAAGCTTTCATCTTTTCTTTTTGTTTTCCAAGGTTTTGGTGGGCGAGATGAATTATTATTTGACGATGTTGATCGAACCTCGTTGTCGGTAGATGCGCTGTTGGATGAATATTCTTCAGCGGCATTTAAAGAGTCTTCAGTGTTGTCTTTCTAAAAACAAAAAAAATTGATACATTTTTGTGTGCATACGCTATAGATATTTCACATCAATAATAACTACTTTTGCAAGTATTTATGATAAAAACCTATTATTTTTATATTACAGTTTCCTAAATCTGAAGAAGAGTGGAAAGAAATAGCAAAGATGTATGAAGAACGATGGAACTTTCCTCATTGTCTTGGTGCAATAGATGGAAAGCACATATCGATTGTTCCACCGGCTAATAGTGGATCGTATTTTTATAATTATAAAGGGCAACATAGTGTGGTTCTTATGGCAATTGTTAATGCAAAATACCAATTTATTTATATAGACGTTGGCATGAATGGCAGAATATCCGATGGAGGGGTTCTACAAAACACTAAATTTTTTGAAAAATTAGAAAATAGTGATTTACATATTCCAAGCAGTGAATTGTTAACAGGAAGTAACCGAAATTTACCATATGTATTTGTGGCAGATGACGCGTTCCCATTACGCCCCGATATGATAAAACCGTTTCGACAGGCAGATTTAACATCGCAAGAAAGAAGAATCCTGAATTACAGATTATCTCGCGCGAGACGGACTGTTGAAAACGCTTTCGGGATAATGGCATCACGATTTCGGATATTTTATACTCATATAAATTTAGAACCCGAAAATATCGATAAAGTAGTGAAAGCATCTTGTGTATTACATAACTTTTTAATTGAACACTCAAAAAAGTCTTATGCACCTCAAAAATGTTTTTATCGAGAAAACTCTGAAAACGGGACTATAATATCTGAAGGATACAATACACAAAATAGCACCATGGTAAACTTGGAAAGAAGAAACCCAGGAAATACTTTGAACAACGCGAAGATAGTCCGAAACAATTTTATGAATTATTTCAATCAGGAGGGAAGGGTACCATGGCAAAATGATCATGTAAATTAAATAATACCTAAGGCTGAACGGGCAGAGTAGGTACATAGTTCTAAATAGTTATAGTTGTAAATAATTATGTTATTATTATATTACTTAATAAAAAAAAATACTACAAACTATGAAATATTTTACTTACCTCACAACTATTTTCGTCATCACTATCTAAGTTGGATGAAGATTCCCTTGGAGTGCATTGATCATGAATGAAATTGAACAAATCGTAGTACCACAGTTTAATACGATACACATCATCAGCAGATGCCCCAGACTTTAAAGATTGCTCATATTTCTTCGTTTCCTTTCTAACATTGCTTCTTAGGTTATTGATCTTTTTCACAACTACATCTTTGTTCGCATCTGGCTCAATTATTCTCAATTTTTCTATGAGTAATTTATAAGCAGCTTCTTTTTTGTCTCGATTATGGTAATCTTTGTTTTTAATTTGCCATAGACATGGATTACTTCTATAAATTTCAATAAAATCTTCAAGGATTTTTTTAGTTGAATCTGGTGGCGCCATTTTCTGGCAATACGATGCGAGCGATGAGACGCCCGTTTGAAAGAAACACTAAAAAACAACTGACGCGACCTGCGCAGGCGACCGGAGTACACGCACACACGCACAGGTACACCGTACGGTGTCACTCGAAAGAATCGATTTTCGATCTTGCGCCGGTTGCCTGCGCAGGTTCAAAAAACTGCACAGGTCTATTCCCACACACATTCCGGTCTACCTGCGCAGGCATACCTGCACAGGTGGACCTTTCCGGTAGACCGTAGCGTGTATGGCCGGCATAACTCGTCAATTGCGACCGGCGACCGACGCCGCCATTGCTCACGGTAGTGCTCTGTTCTCGGTACGAATTCTCGTAACTAATGTATGGGACGTGGTGAGCGCGCTGTGCTGTGACGTCACACCTCCGGAGCTGCGCAATGTCAACTGTGGAACACTTGACCTTCCGTAGCGCTGTGTCGTGCGAGCTACTGCATTACTGTCTGTCTGTCTGTCCTACCGACCGGTCGGCACAGCACAGTGACGCGGGCCAGCAGTAACATTGTATGTATTGAACAGTTATATTTATCGTGTCACTGGATGTTGAATGTTTTGTACTTAATAAAGTGGATGCGCACAAGCAAAGAGGCTCAATAGAAGTGTCGTGTCCTCTATCGCGAAGTTGCGACGATTCGTAGGAACCGTTCACCACTACCGAACTACTGATTTAGAAATGTTAAAGTTAAGTGATATTATATAATATAAAAATACGAATTTTAAACGAAAAAAAAAACGTTAAGACGTTGTAATTTTTCCGTTTGATTTTGTCCTTGTAAATATATTTGCTATATGATTTACTAAATGAATGTAACATATTATTAATGAAAAAATAGATGAACACAAATTTTAAACGTTGTTTTATTTACTGTATTTTCACCGATTATTTTATCCCTTATATACCTAAGTACTATACATGTAGTTAATAGAGTAGCAATGTCAGATTGCAAATATTGTCATTAGCGCAACAGTCGGGTACAGTAGCAAAGAGTATAGTACAGTAGTACCCAACCGGTGGTGGTCCGCAGAAGACGGAATTATATGGTCTACGTAATTAAAAATAAATACAAGACAAAGGTGTCTTGTATTTCCAATACATACGATGATTAAAGCTCAAGTGAAACTTATATCAAAGAAGACAATTAAAAGGATCAACTGATTTTAATAATTGTAAAGTCACTATTTTTATGAGAACAAACCTTACGACTCTTAAAGAAAATCTCGGACCACGTGAAAGGAACCTAACAAATGTTAAAAAAGTGGTCCTTGACCAAGAAATGGTTGGGAACCCCTGGTGTAATATTTTTTTAAGGTGGGAAAATCATCGAATGACTGCTCCGGCCTGGGTGAGGCGGGACTCACTCAGGCCTTGCTGACTAAAAACCACCCCGTTTCATCACCTGCACATCGAGCCGGAGCCCCGGTAACCCATTAGGTTCTCCGCGACCCTGGTGTAGTATAAAGCCTCAGGTTCGAACTCTGGGTCTGGATAAATATCATCGACAAAAACGAGATCAGAGGCCTTGGTATAAGTTTCTTTTACTTTTATAATCAAAATGGGATAGCGTCCGGCCTCTCGTTGGTTGGTTCATTGGAGCCGGCCAATCAAAACGCCGAACGCGTACTCGTTTCACTTGCTTTAGGCTTAAATCAAACTTGTACTAAGCCTTCTGAACTGTTTACCGTTGAACAAAAACAATAATATAGTTGAAATAAATGAAACATGAATAAAATGCTTAATAAGTTTAATAGTACAACTAAACGTTATCATTTAATCAAAAATATAAATATAGTGATAGGATATGGAAGAATACAGAACCAAACAAAATATGGAAAAATAACTAAAAGGAAATATTAGTATCAGTACTCTCACTCCTACGACGAATCAGAAACTTGGCAAAATCATCCGTCTGAGCATCGAACGTGGCGATCTTCTCGCACTGGGCAGCCATGGCAGCTTGCTGGATCTGATCACCAAACGCCTTAACATCATCCCTCTTCTGTTCCACCAAAAACTTCCTCGACTCCATCAAAACGACTGCATCATCACGTGCCATTGACCACACGCTAGGCTTCACGCGAGGTAACATATTATGGCCCACGAACACACCGTGAAACAAGCCCTGAAACTGTGGCTTATGAGGATAATGTTCCAACGCCGACAAAGACAAGAAGTGAACCTTCCCGTAATCTACATTGATGTAAGTGTCGCGATCCTCACGCAACAACAAAGGTGCCTCGGGACCACACTCAGATATCTTAGCATCCACCTGAGCCAGCACTACCATTCCCAAGTTCTTTTCCGTCTCTAAGTTCAGTGCAGCAGCGTCAAACTCTTGACGGTTTTCTATTTCGTAAAGCATTCTCATTACATTTCTTTCTGCAATGTCCGTCGCACGTTTATAATTGACGCCATGGGAAGACTTCAACATATCGGCATCTTCGCAGTTCAGTCCATAGCCTATGTAAGGTGACGTCACAATGTCTCCTAGGTAGCCTCTATGGAGATATCTATCACCGCACTTATACACACCAGCAGCGAGGCTCACGTTCGGCCGACATACTTCTGTCTCCAGCCACGTAAAGGCCACGCCGTGCTCACGAAAATGTTTGTATTCCGGATAACAAATCTGGCCCCCAATTTCCTTCATTCTCATGTGATAATCCCAGTCATAAACACCCATTCTGGTGTCGTACCTAATACCAAGACTGTGTCGCAAGCGATGTTCCCAAAGCTCACAAGCGTTAAACTGGTTAGTGTTGCCCGTGGTCCAGAAGTTCATTAAATTCTCCATATAATCACGTTCACGATACTTCATCTGCTCAATAGAGACGCAGGGCAGCAGACAGTTCATGTACTCAGGGTTAGTAACCATACCGACTAATTGGCGAGCTTTAGCGATCAGATATCGCGACGTAGAGGGTCGCAGCAGCAAATTACCGTAAACTTCTAGGTAACGACGGGTCTTCTCCAATAGGCCACATCGTGTTGTCTTCTCCAGTGCCAGAGACGTGAGGAGCAGTTGTCTTGCTACCAGCTCCGGACATCCGTCGACCACGAACAAGTTCATGTAGCGCCTGGTATGTCGGTAAGCTTGAGCCAACGTTTTAAGAAGATGCCTTCCATCGCAGCCTCCGATGACAAGGAAGTTGAGTTCGTAGGCGTTCTTGTCGCCATATTTTAGGTATTCTTCTTGTAAATCAATAGCAGGACTGATGCCCCAGAACATTTTGTGTTATCGCCTCGGGTGACAGTTACGGAATGAAAGTCATTGTCATGGCGACGTTCAATGAAGCGTGTTTATTTAGCGAACGGGGCGTTACCATGGTTACGATCTATTTATGCACTCATAGCCTCCGAGTTGGTAGGCGCTTGAACGAGCCGCCGCCACCACACACAAAGGATGCATGTAATAGATTATATCGCTAATTAATAATATCGTGAAGGTTCTCGATAGCCGCTCGAGTGGCAATAAGTTGAAATATCGATTCATACGGAATGGGCAACATGCTCGTGTCGGTCGGTAGACTATAAGAGACAAACAAGAACAACAGTGAACAAGTAGGTACACTTATGGGTGCAAAGATTACTTTCAAATTTTTTTATGGGATATTCCGGTAATCGTGCAGAATGATCACCTGATGTTAAGCAATCGGCGCCGCCCGCCCATGGACACCTGAAAGACCGAGGCGTTATAAGTGCGATACTGGCGTTTTGGGAATTGGGAATTTGAGGATTGTGGAGGATTTGGGAATTGGGGAGACTAAACAAAGCGAGCGTTGTTTCACGTCGGTTTTCTGTGTGGCCGTGGTATCACTCCGGTCGAGCTAGCCCATTCGTGCCAAAGCATGGCTCTCCCACACTTAAAAGTGCTCATATTATTTATTTAAAACCTTACCTAAAACTATAATTACAGTTTTCTCCATTGCGATAGTTTAGGCCTAAAACTAATTAGTATTATTACATAAAACAATCCTATCTAGGACTAAGTATTATTATTTAAAACAAATCTATCTAGGACCTCTCGTTTTCAAGAGATATTTCAATATTTTGCGCACTCTTAACACGGTGGCTGATGTCGTAGACATATTTAACTGTACACTGAGCGAGTTCACAAGGACCACTTGTTCTATAGTGTGTAAGGAAATATAGTTTGCAGTTAAAATTTTAATAAGTTTATAGTTAAATATAGTTCATAGTTGATAGTTTAGGAAACATATTTTAATTTACTATGTCGAATTAGGTTAAGTTATCTGTAATGGCAAAGTAATTGTATTAAATAGATAAATAAATAAATAACAATTCAATGTTTTCATAATATTTCATTTCATTTAGTACAAAAAATAAAACAACTAAACCGTTTATAGATTTAACTAGACCTTAAGCTTAAACATAACTTTTCTTTTATTTAATTTGACAATTTATTATTTTTTCAGATTTTGGTCGTCATTACTCGAGTTAATTGTAGTAAATACAGACAATAACAACTTTATAATTTTTATAACACTTTACAGTGTATTTTTTTAAGGGGGGGTAATCATAGAATGACTGCTCCCGCCTGGGTGAGGCGGGAGGGAGTGTCAGACTCTTACTGACTAAAAACCACCCCGTTCCTTCTCCTGCACGTCGAGCCGGAGCCCCGGTTACCCGTTAGGTTCTCCGCGACCTTTACAGTGTATAAGGATACAATACGTTGTTTAAATCCTGTTTGCGGTAGTTACATTTAGCCATAATAATTATTCTTCCTAATCAGTACATGTCGCCACATAAACCAAAAAAAAATCTTTTTTCTGTGTACCGTCTCAGAAATTGATAACGGGTATGAATATTATTAGTCAAATGAGACCACTAAATTGATGCCTAGTCCATACTGTGTACATTCAATATAATTTGTTCCTTTTTAGGTGATGTTAAATAATAAATGTGTATTTAGGAACATGGTTACTAGCCGTGATTGGTGCACTATTTAATTATACTTAATTATTTATTATTATTATAACTTTTAAAATCTTTATTTAAATACGAACTTTTGACAATATGTTAGGCTAGTTTCATTGTAACTTGCTTCCAACTTAGAACTTAATTACATAGTAACTAACGAATTAACTAATTTCGCCTCTGTCGACATTGGTTTGGCTAAAATACTAATACTCCTACATCTAACTTACTACATAACATAACATCACGCCTTTTTTCCCAAAGGGGTAGGCAGAGGTGCATATTATGCCACTGTACAATGTAACACCCACTTTTCACTATTTATGCTATGAGTCCCATACCGAGCGTAATTCCAGACTCCGTGCTACTACTGAGAATTTTGTAAAAAAACCCAGTAATACTTTGCCCGACCCGGGAATCGAACCCGAGACTCCTTGCCCAGCCGTCGCACTTGAGACCACTAGGCCAACGAGGCAGTCTAATCTAACTTATATAGAATAATATTCAATAAATGAATCAAAATCTTTCTCTCACATTCATTCCCGACGCACTCCACTAGACGATGGTAGACATACTCTATTTTATTATAATAAACTGGACAAACCGGAGAATCCACCTTTTGCATAAGGAAAGCTAAGACATATATCATAATATCTCTTAACTTTAAAATTACAAAACCATGGCACTCGAGGAGGCTCATACAGTATAGTTTTATACCAGAAACCTTTGACTTTTGATTTTTCAATAACTTAATATACTTTTTTAAAAAGAGTAACGAATGGAGTTTCTTGCTCGTTCTTCTCCATTCGAATCTACATTTTGGAATGAGCATCTAGCTTCACCTAGCTTCACTGACGGAGTGACTGACAGACTATTATTTATTTTGTATTTGTTGACGTTTCAAAAGTACCAAATTATGGTTTAATTGAAATAAATGCTTTGATTTTGACTTTAACTTTCACTAAAGTATTTTACCCATTCATTATAACAACAGTTTTTAAGTTAAGTCTTTCCGAATACACTGATAAAACATAAATCTCAATACCTGACGTTGCTGCTATCTTAGCCAGTCTATCACCTCCACAGTAAAACTAAGCGACGTAACTAATTGACGTTATTTGAAAGAATGCTAGTATGTGTTTTATTCAAAATTCCAAAGACTATTCAATACACCAGTATTCATCAGTGGCGCATCGAGCCAGAAGTTGGAGTGAGCTCTTGCTGTCCGTGCATAGGGTGTTAGACTATAGTGTGTTGAGAATATGATTTTTAAGGCATAAAAGTTTTTTTTTGTTTGGGTCAAATATATTAATTAAAAGTATACCCCACCCCCTTCTTGACGCGGGCCTGCGGACGGCGAGCATGGGTGGCTCCCCGTCCGACCAGAAACAGACCCGAGCGTACGGCGCGTCGCGTTCCGCGCGCGCCTCAAAGAGCCATCAGACCACCACAGATGGGGCCCAATAGGGCCGATGCCGATTCGGAGTCGCGGAGAACCTAACGGGTAACCGGGGCTCCGGCTCGACGTGCAGGAGAAGGAACGGGGTGGTTTTTAGTCAGTAAGAGTCTGACACTCCCTTCCGCCTCACCCAGGCGGGAGCAGTCATTCGATGATTTTCCCCCCTTAAAAAAAAAAAAAAAAACCCTTCTTGACGACAGATCGATCTGATATTTGGTACAATTATGGCCACAACTACATCCGTTGTGAATATCAAATGAAAGGGCTTGATTGGCAAAATAGAAGGATATCAAAAATAAAACTCAAAACATTACTCTTAAAATAATTTATTAAATAATTTCATAGAATAGTAAATGCCTCTGTGAAAATATTAACTATAAAAATAGTACAATAAGTCGAACCAGAGTAAGTAGTGCTGTATTCGAGCATTGAAAATCGCCAAGTACCTAAATGGTGCAAGCAACGTTTTGCTATATTTCGTGTTATTTTTAACTCATAAGGTTCAAAATAAAGTCTTCTGATCGTATTTCTTAACTATTTTGTTCTTTATATACAATTTATTAGTAATATTTACAGATATTTCATAGCAGGGTACGGACTGAAGGACTTGTTTGCTGAACTGTAATTTTCACATGAACGCCTGAAGTATATATATTTTATATATAATAAATTGAAAGACACATTTGCTCGGAATATTTAATAGTTTGTAACAAGAAAATCTAATGTAGAATTTTTGTTTTTTAGTTACTGAAAACATCATTGATTTAGTATTATGATATAATATTTAGTTCTTACCGAGCTTTTTCAGTTCCACAAATAACCAGTAGAGGCGTTCAAGTCAGCATTTGCACCAGTGGGTGCGTAAGTAGTGACTTATCTATACAAAATATTAACTAAATTCTATAATTACACTATATATGAACTAAAAATATCAAACTAGGGCATAATTATTAAATATTTGGTAACTATCTTTGATGCTTACCTTTGCGTTCGATAACCTAAAATCTACAATTTACAAGGAATCTTCTTTAGGAATACAAAATAGTGAAAGAACGCATTTTAGACACAGACTAGAAAGTGATTGCATGAGCTCTGCACACACTGTAATACTGATATCGTCAGATTTCACACTTAAATAATTTATATATATATGTTGTATATATAAAGTCATACATATACACATACAAATGTAAACGGAATGCTCTCGAAAATGCAGAAAAACTTTTTAGAGTTTATTTCAAAAAAAGAGAACAGGAATTAAATGTTTATTTTGTGTAATAATAGTTGTAATTATCTGCTTGATGTTGCAATAATACAAAAACAAAAACGATTAAAATTGTGAAAATTGTCTGCGTTGCCGTGTAGAGGTAGTGTGTCTGACACCTCGCCCTATAAGTAAGTAGTGTAAGTTAGTTCTTAAGTCACTCAATTAAAGATATTCTTAACAACAACATGTCTCACTCATTGCTCCGCATAGCATGGCGACCCTGCCAGGATAGCCTATCAGGATAGGTAGCTTACCGGTTACACTCTGTATAGTAGTTATATATTAGGTATATATAGTTTATCTTCTTAAACATTTTATGATTTAAATCTGACGATACATAGTCCTATGTCGCAGGCTCATGTTTGTGAACTTTATAAATACAATTTAATAATACATATACTTTGGCTAAGATTGTCTTGATGATCTTTAATGGAGGTCTACGATGAATGAACCTATGATGATTGTAACAGTCTACAATAAATAGTTTTTACAAATATTTTCTACAAGAGAACTACAAAATTACAAATAAATATATAAATATCTACTATTTAAACTGTAGCTCTTATTTACTATATATTTAAATACAATTAAATAACATAATAGAATATCGTCTACTACAATAAAATTGTACAAAATAATTGATTGACTGTAACAGTATAAAGTCTTGGCAACAGAATAACAGAAACTCACAAGAATTACATATAAATATAACTCTCTTGAATCTCAAGAAATTCAATAATAGTTTAAATAGTAGGCAACTGCTTACCATATAGTTCCATTTACTGCCCTGTAATGTCATATTAACAACCCATTCAAAAGGAACTCGACACTAGGTTTGAATACCACAACAAGCGAAACTTCTGGAATGTAAATGCATATTCGCAAAAGTTACAGAATATCTATCCCGAACCCATCAGAATGGGTCCTAAAAGTCATTACTTATTATTTTGGGAAGAATGTCACACGACCTTTTCCTCGACCGGCCCGTTTTGGAGGACCTGACTTGCTTTCGTCAAGAAAATCTGGAGTCGTCTGAACTCGCTAAAGATTTGGGTTTGGAAACCTTCGCCTCTACTGAAGTTTGAGGAGCACCTCTTGCACCAGCAGCCGTGCTTCTGTTGGTGTACGTAGACGACGTGACCGGGATCTTGCGAGTCTGCTTGATTCTTAACTTGTTGAACCAAAGATCTCGCGTCTTTTTGTTCCCCACTACAAAGAACATAAACAACACGAACCCTTGGAAGGTAGCTGTCAAAGCAAACAAGTAAGCTAATACTAAATTGAATGCAAATAAACCAAATATCCAGGGCAGTCCGAACATGAACACGAGTAAACAACTAACTGAGGCACAACGCAAGGCTTCATTAGAGTCGCCGTGCCTCTGGATCCTTCTAGAAGCGTACACGGACCGTACTATCAATATAAATAGCGTCCAGTTCGCAAGTAACATGACCGCGATGGGTGCATACACGGCCAGCCAGAGACTGAGGCCAGAAGGATAGCAGAAAGCTCCTGTCGGGGTTTTCTCTTCGAAGCGTCCCGCGTAAGAGCGCGGGTCGACTGAAAGGAGGATACCGACAATAGCACACGGAGCTCCCCACGAGAAAGCAGACGCTCGCAGCAACTTGTGGGAGGCGTCGCGACTGAACACCATCACTAGTCTCCTGTACGAGATGATGGCCGCCACTAACATCCAGCAGAAAGATGCTAATACAGAGTAGTGCATCAACACTCCCACCAGCATGCAAGCAAAGCCGTAGTTATCAAATCTCACATACACTGCGATTAAGAAGCAGATGACCAGAAGTAGTACGGCAATGCAGAGCTGCAACCATATCTTATTGTTGAAGTCTCGTCGCCAAGATCTGAAGAGAACGGCAGTGATACCGACGAGAATGACACCTAACATGGATAAGCAGCAGCCTATGACAGAGATGATTTCTAAGGCTTGTTCATTAGCTTCGGAGAAGACTGCTCTGGGGATGAGTACTTCAGCGAAATGTGTGAGATGAGTGCAGCGACACGTGTCCAGCATCCCACGTCGCGAGGCGCGGATGAAGGTGCATCCCTCCTGCGACCAGTACCCCTTGCCATTATCTTCAAACACCCAGTATGCACACGAACGACTTGTGTTCCTCTCGGGGCTAATCAGGGAACTGAAGTGTAAGTCCACACTCTGAAAAAATAATAAAAATCGTTTATTAATCAATTTCTGCTTCCAATCGCTGCATTTGATTTTACTTTAATAATAAAGATATAAAATACAATATTGAATACCACCTATCTTAAAATTTTCAATATCATTCAGGACCGTTAGCTTAACATGATGAATATAAATTTAAAAAAAACTTTTTAGACATTTACCTCTCCGCGCTCAAACTCTGTGACATTCTCGACATTGATGCTGAGCACCCTGCTGCTGACTCGGTACTCGTTGGTGGGACTGGCGTGGAAGGCGCGGTCGTTGCGGAACACTACAAAGCTGATACGACGAGACGACGCTGCTACTGAGTCTGGCAGCTTTACTACCACCTCACTACTGTCTGTTTGAAGAGTGGACGAGTCCACTCGATCTGGAAATTGTATTTTTACATTTTATATTACTTGTTTTATTTGTCCCAAGATTGCAATGAGTCGTAGGCTCGTAGATAGCTGATGTAGAAATATTATTGACGAACAAAATTTAAATCATAAAATAAGTAGGTATGCAGCTAGTACCTATTTGTTTCCTTGCAAGTTATCGTTCCCACGTCCATTACATGAAGGAACCAATTACAGCACACATGTTACTACTGATTCAGATTAGTTCGGCGTTGCGTTCAATGCCATGCGCCAAAACCGTGAACTAATGCTTATTGAATCGAATGCAGAAAAAAAAAAACTTTTCTGTTTGGTTTAGTTGTAGAAAATATACATGTATGGTAAAAAGATTCAGATGTTTCATCATCATCAAAAACTGCTGAAAGCCAGCTAGATTATTCTGTAGCTATTAATTCGTACTTTTGAAGTGAGGTCGATCGCATTCTCGCCCGTCATTTGTTGAGATTATTCTTACAACCAATGACATACCGGACCGCGATGGAGTTCGCTTTGATCTCTTGAATTTAAAGTTACAGAATACCCTGTCTGTTGGGACATTTAGTATAATTCTCATTTTTAGCAAAACTCTTGGAAATCGCAATTTAGCAGAGAAACAATAATTGATGATTATATGGAGGCTACCCACTGGAAAGTCATATTTCAGAAGGTAGTCTCAACGTAATTGAATATGATTAATGACAAGAAATGATTGAAAGGCCGTGTCTTGACATTTTGTTTTTTATAAAAGGTCTGCTCCACGCAAATTGACCTACTTTTGGAGAACTATGTCATTTATCCATCCATTATGAATTGATGAGTCTTTCGTTGATAGGGCAAGAAGGGATAGGCAGATTTGTATACACCAAACATGAAAGCCACTTTATACCAGTTATGTTATAGGTCTATTGCTATACACTGGGTATTATAACCTCATACTGGAGTCTGAGTATTACAAAGAAGTTTGAAAAACTGAAATGGAATCAAATTACAATAAACCTTGATTGAATCAGAGTTCCTTTGCTTAGCAATCGTGGTGTCGATTATATTACAGCAGTAGAAACAATCATGTATGTGCTAAATCATACATAAGTTATCTATGTTTTTGATGAAATCCTCATCTCGATCATGGTACCTGGTATTAGACCTACCACAGTAGGTCTAATAACAGGTACTATGATGCATACCTCTGATAATTTGGAAAGTGTCACTCGTAAAGTTATCGATGTCTCTGGCAACAATCCTAAGACCCTTGACGGGCTGTTCAGCTTCAGCTTGAGCTACCACCAAGGCTATATTGTCCCTGATAGTGGTCGCATTCTCTGACCCAGCCAGGTCCAGTCTAGTTCCAATTCCATCAAGTAAGTGCAGCAGTTCTCCTGGAATGTTCAGTTCTAGGTTCTCTGCTAGCAGTCCATCCACCTGAAAATTTTGTAAATTTTGTTATGGTAAATGTATCAAGTTAAATGTCAGATTGATAGGTACGTTAAAAAACTGTCTGGTGCTATAATAGTGTGAATACAGAGGAGTGCATTTCAAATGTGTAATTCATATTTTCGTGAGTTGAGCACAGAATACGAACAGGAATTATGCAAACTATTTGTTTTTTCTTAAAACTTCTTAAATCTCAATAATGTGACCCGATCTGATAATCGGAACGACACCTCCATAATGGTAGTATTATCTTTTGTTATTATTTGGATAACAAAACAAATTTAAAAACAATTATCAAAGGATTGGATCATCATGTTGAAATTTAAAATCATAATACTTAATTATGATTTGAATTTCACTATATGGAATGCGATCAGCTTATTGAATTAGAAAATAATGAGGTTACACAAAATAATGCAGAATGTTATCATAAATATATTACGGCGCTGAATGACTCGCAATTCACTGTAACGGTAAAGACGTAAATAAAATCAACAATGTTGTAATTAAAATCATTAAATACTAGCTTCTGCTAGCGGCTTCGCCTGCGTTCTCCACGGTCTGGAATTACTTTTAGACCATAATCTACCCCAGTTCCAAATTCATCTGGATCCCTTCAGCCATTACGTCGTGAAGAAGTAACAATCCAACAAACAAATAAAATAACATAAAACTTTCCCATTTATAATATTAGTAGAATTAATACAATAACAATATTTTATAACATTAGTCTCATAAGATGGCCGCAAACCTATTATGGATAATTCCAAAATTCTCATGACTTATCTGACTCTGGTATCCCAATGATATCCCGATAATTATGTCAGCAAGACAGATCTAGAGAAAACATTGAAAATGCATTTACCTGGTCAAATGCTGTATTGATTTCATCGACTGACACCGGTGATGTTGGTTCACTATTGATAAGATTATCCAGATCATTTATGACTTGTTGGAGTTGATCTTCAGGCTAGAAATAGATGAGGAATATATAAAAAATATTGCTTTCAACGATATGTTGTTGTTAGAAACATACATGCACATATAGGTATGGTTAGATAGATGTTTAATGATGGCACATGCAACGTTACATACAATAAAGAAAAAACAACTTTAATACCAAACCTAAAAACCAATATTCTTCTTTTTAATCTTCATTAATTTAGAAGTTTTGTAATACATGGAGACCTGTCCTATAGAAAGATGGTTTGTTATTCATCAGACCTTAGAAAAATACTTCATATTTCTCTTTTAACTTCCAACTAAGATCCACCTTTAGAATTAACCTCTTCTAAAATTTTAAGAATGCGAAAATAGGGACCGTTTAAGGTATCTTTAATATATGTATCTCCAACATGTTTTAACAACGATAAGTAATAGAATAAACGTTTAGTGACGTTTCGAAAGACCCTATAAAAGTGGATTAATTTGAAACATCGATTGTTTGACGTCTATTTATACGTATGCAATTGACTACCAAATACGTGAACGTTTTTTACTTACAAGAACATGCATTGCATAAGTTCGTAAACACTCAACTCTAAAGATAAACGTGCTCATTAGGTCACACCGTCCTTTACAAAGGACTTTTCTATAAAGTTGTTGCCAAACTACTACACTGTTGTACATCTACAAGAAGACAGGACATCTACAAACAAGCAAGACTTACTGCATCGTGCTCGTTAGGCAACGCCGTCCTTTATAAAGGACTTTTCTACATAGTGGATGCCAAACTACTACTCTACTGTACATCTGCAAGAAGACAGGACATCCACAAACAAGCAAGACTTACTGCCAGCGTTGTTGGTATAGTGGTCGTTGGAGGAGGTGGTGGCGGTGGTGGTGACGTCACCACTTCTGTAGTGGTAGTCATCATTGTCGTAATGATTGGCGTTTCTGTTCTTATCGTCTCTGGCGCCATGGTTACAAACGTCACTGATGCAGTAGGAGTGAATGTAGGGCTCGAAGTACTACTAATAATATCTGGATTATTCATAGTTGTTGATTCGGGTGGAGTCTCTTCCGAACTGTCTGAAGAATCCTCGTTCGTTGTTGGTGTGGCACACTAAAATGTTAGTCAATTAGCTTGTGCTGAGCAATGAGTTGTCATGTGTTATTATTTTACAGTATTTTTTGTTAAATATACACATAATTCTGAATTCAAAGCTGTATGAATATAGCCTTTAAACTAAAAGTACAAAAATTAATCTAATTTTATGGATGTTTACTGTAGCTCTCGTTGTTATACAAAAAATAAATTCAAATAGCTAAAATGTTTACCGTCTGTTCGGATAAGGATGAATTTAGTAATTTAATACACCAAGTTCATCTCGTTTGTTTTTTTTTACAATTTCATAACATTGTGAAATGTAGTAAGACATTTCAGAGTGACCCTTAACAAAATAATTGTTTTTGATAAGAACGGACACTGCTAGATACAAGCAGTAATTTTATACATAATTAATATTATTAATGGCAATTGTATAGCCAACCAAAAGCATGTAATTAAAATCTGTAAAATCTTATCTGCAATGACAACTGTCGGTTAAGAACATTGTAACATGGACTGTTAGAAATATCACATGCGATGAAGCGACATCTCTGTCTATAGAGAGTTACGAGCATTTAGTTCTAAGCAGATTTGGCGTCCAGAACAGAACTGGGCTGATGAAGAGCATGCATCAGGTTATTACTTTATTGGCTTCTGAACTACTGAAGCCTCCAATAACGTTCGTTCTATAAGACTAGAATTTTGTGCATTCAACGGTCAGTTTGTACTGGTTATATGCACCCTGATATGTAACCTGTGAATTTAACCAGTATAAAGTGACAAATGAATGCGGAAAGATCACACAAAACGTGACCATGATAAAATAGTTTTAAAAGATGATGATGTGCAGGGCTAACTTTTTTTACATGTTATGTCTACGTCGTGCCACTATCTCGCCTGGTGGTAAGCGATGATGCGGCCTACGATGGAACATGACTGACCATAAGTAACCTATTCACTTGAGCGTTGAAGACATCTAGGTTGTACGCCACAGGAAACACACTCTGGCTAAGAATTCCACTCCAAAAGGAAGCTTGAACCAAAGCTCTTGGTGCGAGTGGGTGGGATATCCCCCATGACTGATCTGATGACCATTACTACTGCTAGATCGTACTATGGGCCGTAGTGTGTTATAAAATGATCATCTTACTTTCTAGCCTTACATGCCGAACTTTATTTGGAAGGTTCAGCAGCTCTTAGGCTATGTATGTATTAAGATAATGTACTTACATAATCAGAGCACTCTGTGGTATTGTTGGTGGCAAAGGTGGTGGTGGGGATGGAGGCAGTGGAGGAGGTAATGTTACCAGGAGTCGTTACATTGTATGGTGGTGGGACTTGGTTTCTGTACAACGTCGGCAGCTTAGTAGACATGATGCATCCATCATCCATCGTCGTCACCACTTGCACGCCATCATTGAAGTTACCGATACAAGTATGTATCCGACATTGCACTGTTATTGATTCCACTGAAAAATGTTTTGGGGAAACGATCAAAGTTGGATCAAAATTTTCGATCATCAAAAAAAACTAAATAACGTTTAATAGTAGCCTCTTGCTCGTTGTTCTTAATATGGATATCTATTTGCTCCGGAACGAGCAATTAACTTCACTAAATGACCGATAGGGTGCTTGCATTCATTTTCAGAAGAGCCTTCAGTGGCATGATAGAAATCATCTTCTATGAAGTCTTTGGCGCATTGTTACAAAATTTAATAAACAACTGGAATTCTTAAATTTTGTAGCAATGTGCCCATAGAAATTCAACAAATTATAGTCTCTGGTATAATACACATATCACTGAATCAATCAGGTAATTATTACTTCAGTCTGACCCTTTAATTACACCGAGGTTTTATCTCGACTACTTATACAAAACAATGTAGACATACAAGAATTTTAATTTACAAGTACTACCGTCAACAATGAATGATATTATCCTTAATTGATGAGTTAATTATCCAACTGTAGTGACATTGCAAGTTGCAACAGATAAGATACTACAAGTACGATAAAAAAATGCAGAAATAAATCGACCAGTCAAACGCATGGAATCTCTATTAGTGAGGAAAAACGCGTTGATTGAAGTACAATATCTTTTTCGACACTAAAACTAAAATTATTTATTATTCAAATAATATTTACAGCTATAACAAATCTTAAAATTTTAAGGTGTAAGTTAGTAACGATGTCAGTTCGTGCATAGACTTTGTATCCGTGAAGTTAGACAATTGTCTTAGACATAACAAAACTATGGACGTAATATTACAACTTGTGGTCATCCGTCTGGATGTTTAACCTCTGCACTTGATATAAATGAGACTAATTAGGCGACAGGGATACATTCAAGTGCAGACTAATCACGTAATTATCGCGATCGCTTCTCTTGTAATACCGACTATTTGATTACAACGGGAACATGATGTTTAGGGCCAAACGTAAATGTATTACGATGACCTAATTTTGCCTGTTATCGTGCCATATTATTTATATGGGGCATTGATCCAAACTCTATAGATGAGAATCACATATCGAAAATATATTTACTTGTTATAAAACGCATCAAAATAAGAATTGTATGTACTAATAACCGGGATACACATAATCATGCTAGAAAACTCAATTAAATAAAGAAACACTCACCAAATTCATGATTATCAGCTTTACAATAATAAATGGGTTTCATGTAAACAATTTGAAGGCCTTCCCAGGTCCCTGGCTGCACTGGTAGCATATTTGGATTTAGGTGGATGTGTATCAAAATAGTCTTCTTATCCAAAAACACTTTCTTCAACTTTATCTCGTAAATGATGTCTTTCTCTTTAGTGGGATTCAAATCTGGGTGTTTCAATTTGAAATCAAACAAGGTATCTCCAAAATCCTTTGGATCTTCAGTCACTTCTGCTCCGCCATTGGTCTTATAATACCTCGTTGAAAAGAAAATGTATGCCTTTAACTTCTTCTCCCAGCTTTTCTTCAGTCTATCTAGGTTGTCAAATGTGTATTCTTTGTCCAATACCAGTTTGACAGCGTAATTGTTTTGGAGGGATGTTTCTTCTCTCACCCAGAGAGCTTTGTTCGATTCTGACACTTGGTACCGCTTAGAATCAATGTGAACACACCAATAGTATCCATCGCCAATGGGTTTGAGAATGTAGGTATACAGCTTGTTGTGAACTCCATCGGAACTAATTTTAACAGTTGTTGGCGAATATGACTCGGAATCTGTGAAGCAGTAGATATTGTCCTCGTTGACCTTTTCAGCCACAGTCAATATTAACTTGTTTTGACTGGAAAATAAACAAATTAAAATTAAAATGAAGATAAAAAAATCTGCTGTTACAATTACAGATAGAATTAAAATTATTTCATAAAAGAACTTGTCATCTGACATTAGTTGATTCGTACTTACTCGTCAGCGCTGACAACTAAATTAGCTCTTTTTAATTCAACGTTCTTCTCGCATATGACGTCATAGAATATGTAAGAACTGTTAACCAATTCCCATAAATCGTTTTTCACAGCACCAAAAGATGTTTCATTTCCACCCATCATTTTAAAATGTTCATCCAAGTGCCACGTTGTGGGTGGTTCCTAAAGAGTGATTAATAAATAAATATAAAATATCTATAATACATGCTGTCGCAAAATTAACAAGGCTGTTCTTTTCAAGTATTGGTTAACACATGAAACATTAACATGCTTTTAGAAAAACGACTTGCAAAGGAGATTTCTATGCAGAGCGGTACAATCTAACAGATTTTTAACAATGTTAAAGTTAACACAGATCACATTAACATTCACTAATAATTATAAATTGATTGCACAGTGACAATCAAAGCGAACAAGTACATGAGATGAAGCCTACACATAAAGGAATACGTGTTAAAAGCTAAGCAATACATTTCAAATTTCGTTCATGCAGGAATCATAGTGACTACTAAATGAAAGAGAATTTGAAAGAGTTCCCACCAACACCAACACATCCCGGTATATGGGTTGCGAAAGCCATCGCGATGACTTGTGACAGCACAATTCTGGAGATGTTTCGAGCTCAAAGAGTGATTTTCTGTTCGAACGAGGTACAAATGGAAACCAGCCACCACAGTCCAATAGCTAATAAAAACAAAACATTCTAAAACAACAAAAGCTGCATATGATTTTTCCCTAATAGTTATTATTTAAGTACTCGACGGCACTTAATATTAAATACCATTTAACCAGGGCTACGTCAAAACTATAAAAGAATATGTAACTATAGAAAATGATAAGATGTATTTTTGGTTCAGAAATTATTCTCGGGAATTTTAGTACTTCAGATTGCTTTCATGGACATTACTGAGATCAAAGACAAACTAACATAGATGGGTATGATAAACAACAAATAAAAATATAACTCACCGTAGTGTCTCCACTCACAATATTCATGTGACGTTGAGGGTCGTACGTAATACCCAGAGGATATGCAGGATACTGGTCTGATGATATATGCAATAATGGATTATTTGAATATCTCCAGCCGTTGTACAGGAGTGTGCCTCCCCGTTTTTCACATATTTCCTTCGACTGATTCCAAGTTGCTCTTACCGTACCACCGCCAACGGCAGTGGCTGCTGACAAACAAGTTGATTTTGGAGACCAAAATCTATAAGAATCATTGAACTTTTCACAACCTTCAGTAGACATATCGTCTGCTTCAACGTATGGGTGAACTAGGCAGTACCTATAGTACTCTTCGTCACATTTCGCAGTCGTAAAATTACTTACAGGGTCCATCACTACGCACAGTTCTTCGTCAACGCTTCGATGAGGGTTACTTATTTCAAATGATGTTTCCACTAGAGATCCTATTGATTTTGTGAAGGAGTAATCAATGAAGGGTCCCCCAGGGTACAATGATTTGTACTCTGTCCATAATACTAAATCAGACTTTGTTAAATTCAAACTGTTGTACAGTTTGGATGTATATAGGTTACCGGAGCACCCCACATATGTGTCTGTAAGTTTCTCTGGGCCCTTCAACCGGTAACATATTAAATCTCCTTTTAGACTGGAGTAAGCTATTCGGAATCCTACTGGACATATTACTCGTTTAGATTTCTTTGCTTCTAGTGCAGGTTGTAACACCAGCAAGAGTATTATTGTAGCTACGGTGGGTATACGATGTAGTTGGACCATCTGAAACAATAATAGGTTTTTTTTGTTAAAATATATTATATTCTTTATTCCTTTATATTCTATATTCCTTTCTCATTATTCCTAAATTTTAACTTTTATTTATATACTAGCTGTTGCCCGCGACTTCGTCCGCGTACAATATGAATTTTAGAACATATCTTTTTTTGTTTCAATTTTCAAAATTAAAAGTAGCCTATACTCACTACTCCTTAGTACATCAGCTACCTGCCAATAAAATTCTTGCTAAATCGGTCCAGTCAGTCCAGAGATTAGCCAATACAAACAGCATGTGTATCGTATGTAGTAAAAAGCGATTATTTAAATATTAGAAACAGACACTCCAATTTTATTTATCTGTATAGATATGAATTTATTGCGATTTTCCTAATACGTAACTTCGCCGTTTCACCTAACATAGGTACATATAAACTAATACTTGTGACTAAATATATGATAGATATATTTAAACAGTCGATGACAAATATCGCGATTTACTCAAATATCGATTCCACTTTACAAAACAAAAAAATTCTGAGAACTTTGTATACCATTTTTGAGAGTTCCGTATGATCGGCTCTCTGTTATCAAATTAATCTCATCGTGAACGTATCGGCTGATAACTTCGCCTATGAAACGATGCTATAAACCGATACACGGATATCAAGGCTTATGATTGTGTGAAATTGCTGACTAGATTCTGTAGTCTAAACACATAATAATATATCTGAATGCGTCTCAGAATTAACCAAAAATCGCGGGTTACTCTGCGCGCCATCGCCGCAACCGCGCACGCAGCTCATGAGGAAGAACCCCTCTGTGGTTCGAAACTAGTAGAGCTTTTCTCAGTATACATATTCACGTGAGTAACCCGCGATGTTAGTTAATTTAGTATGTCTCACGATAGTTATTATAAAAGCGTCTCAGAATATATATTTTTTGAAAATCTCAGCATCATCATCATCATCAACAGCCTATAAATGCCCACTGCTGAGCAAAGCCTCTTCTCACACGGAGAAGGTTAGAGCATTAATCACCACGCTTGCTCAATGCGGGTTGGCGATTTCAAACTTATAATTAGAAATTATAAGTCCAGGTTTCCTCACGATGTTTTGCTTCACCGTTTGTCAGTGGTGTCTAAATAATCTTAGAAAGTACATATAACTCGGAAAAAGTCACATTGGTACTTGCCGTTGGTAGGTTTCGAACCCGCACCCTCATGCATGAGAAGTGGGCGTCTAAACCTCCGGGCCACCACGACTGCATCTCAGCAATTACTTTTAATTCAAGTTGTGCCTATTGTATACTATAACATATTTTTAAATTGTATTGTTATGTATCATGTACAGGCCATCGTGTGTACATTTAAATAATTTCCTGCATGTAATCTTGTGATATTTATTTGTTTATTGAATGACCACGATTTAATGTATCGGTAGTTGAGCTTGACCGATTTTGTTCGCTTGCCGGGTCGTTGAGACACAATTTGATTTAAACCGATAAAGTATGAATTTAACAGCGAAATCAAAACCCATTATATTATTTGTACATCGGGTTTCTTTATTTGTATCTGTAATTCAGTGTTCCTAAAGTATTGTAAAATAAGGTGGAAAAATCGCGGGTTATTCACATGAATATACTACATATGCGCAACCTAACCTCTGAAATCATAGAATACTTAATATCTAATATTATCTGTAGACCATAGACAAGAAAAAACCTACTTACTTCTTATCTCCTATCTAGTTGCATTTCATAAAATTGGTTAAAGGAGTATATACCTCTATAAAAGTTTAACTATATCATACAGATCTAAGGTATGGTACAAATAGCCAAACTTACTGACAGACAGTTCAGCGGACAAACCTATATTACCTACAACGTCTTAGGTGCAAAAGTACAGATTAATTGAAATAAAATGTTTTGACTTTGAGTTATCAGTTTAAACTTGCACTTTGATGAACAAACATGGCTACTACACAGGTATCTAGTTGGTGATTAACATAAAAAATAGTAGTAATGTTTTTTGTTAACTTAATCAATTGGAAACAATTCAATGATTTAACGATTTATGACTGCATGGCTGGCGCGGTGGCTGGGCAACTGGCTGCCGCGCAACGGGTCGCGGGTTGAATTCCCGCACGGAACAACTCTTTGTGTGATCCATAGATTGTTGTTTCGGGTCTGGGTATTATGTGTATGTGAACTTGTATGTTTGTAAACGCACCCACGACACAGGTGAAAAATCTGGTGTGGGGCAACGTTTAAAACAATCGGATTAAATTATCGGAACCTGAACTTATCTTATAGAATGCAGGTAGATTAAAAAATAATAGCATACGTTTAAAATATTTCTAAAAGAAAACAATAATTCTTATACGGTTAACAATAAATAAATATCGCACTTCTTATAATTGACTGCTTCGGGGTCACGCAGTCAATTTTAAATTTAGTAGCACATTGTATTTTTCATTAAATTGATTTCCAAAATTAAAACTGACCCGACCATAGACTAAGTGTTTAACAAAAAAGGTAATCCCAAATTTTATCAGTCAGTGACATATTAAGTTGTAGTAATTTTCTTCATAAAATAATACTTGTTATTTAGTCTTAATTCTAATATTATCTGTAGAGAAAGTGCAATCCGATGATAAAATAAATTTTAAGACGTTCGTTTATCATAATTATCCTACTGAGATTAAATTTTATTTTTAAGTAAGTACTTATGTAATACAAGTCTGCAAGATATTATGTGGAGCTAGATATATCTGATTACTAACGGCCTAAATTAATAACATAGTTACCTCGAGGCTCACTCCCTATTACATGGGACTCATAACATAAATAGTGAAAAGTGGGTGTTACATTGTACAGTGGTATAATGTGCACCTCTACCTACCCCTTCAAGGATAAAAAGGCGTGATGTTATGTTATGTTACCTCGATCTAAAATGTATGGATTAACCTCTGAGTGCCAAGCACGAATAACTATCTTACTCGTAACGTAATAGTATTGAGCGCGTTAGGCGCTCTGATTGGCCAGCTCCAGTGAACTAACCAATCCTGGCACTCTGGTACGTCAGAACGTAGATCTACGCGAGACACAATGCGTTCTATTATGTCTCATACATCGACAGACGAGAGGTTAAAACAATATTTAAGAGTAACTCTAAACTACAACCTGTGTCAAAAATCAATCTAAGTATATCTGCAGTTCTTGCATTGAAACAGGTTATAAGATTTAATCGTAAATGGATAAATACAAAACTTGAAAATACTCCTATTTAGAGGTAATATCCGCGGCATTTTGAAAATGCTTTTCAGTTCTTTACACGTTGTATTAATGATTATTTCGTAAAATATTTGATTAAACAGATAAATAATAATGGTACATTTGGATTAGAGATTAGACCTTGAATTCAAGCGTGGGAGAGCCATGCTTGGGCACGAATGAGCCGGCTTGACCGAAGTGATACCACGGCCTCACAGAAGACCAACGTGAAACAACGCTTGCGTTGTGTTTCGTCGTGTGAGTGAGGTTACCGGACACCCAATAACCACTCCCTCCCTTTCCCAATCCCTGAATCCCCAACAATCCTCGAATTCTTAAGCCCAAAAGGCCGGTAACGCACTTGTGACGCCTCTGGTGTTTCAGGTGTCCATGGGCGACGCCGATTGCTTACCATCAGGTGATCTGCATACTCGTTTACCGGTTTATCCCATAAAAAAAAGACCTCAGGTATAACAACTTCTATAAATGTCCAGCTATGACTGTTTTGAATTCATAATTAGCTATTTTCTTAGTTATTCAACATTTGATTCACTCCCTAATCTATACACATTTAGGTATGAACGTAAACAGTTGAAAATATTCGACAAACATTTACAACCTACGTCCGAAATTAAAATGAATTCACCGCAAAACAAAAAAAATGCCAACGTAATTGTTACTTCAATCCAATGACCTTAATCACGAAAGCGAGGTTCATTTTAAAACTACTGTTATATATTATAAAAACTGTTTGTTTGTATATAAATTCGTTTACTTAGTAGTTTGATGACTAAGCATAATTAAATTTAAATGTGTGACTTATTGAAAGCTAATTACTTTTGCAACGCTTCTTATCCTTTATAAAATCTAACATGAGGTTAGCCATAATACGATTATAAAATTATCATAATATGTGATAACAATAATAACTAATCAGACGGAAAAATCAATTTTCGTACATAAAAATAGATAATTGAAAACGTCATCAATTTCAAAAACAAATTCACATTCATTTTAATTTTTAAATCACCAGACATCAAACTATAAGAAATTTATTTAATTTCCAAAAATATATCATTCTTAAATATACAGTTAGGTGAGTGACTGATAATGAGTCAGCGAGTCGGCGACACAATTGTTATCATGGCACGACTTTGATTACATTCCTTGATTACCACTGATACGTGTCATGGTGTAATCAAAACCAGATTTGTTCCTTAATTGATTATAATTTACTGCGCAAGCGTGATCTTTACAAACAGTAGTTAAAATCAGCAAAAAACATGTTCCCTCACCTTCATTTCTTTAAGTAATTTGGGCTTGAATGACGAATAGTCTTCTGTGCCAGCTCATCTTACAGTCCCATTTAAGACTTGTTCTTTAGGAACTAAAGTCCAAACTCGCCTGCATCGTCTCCACAGTCACTTGCTCTGCGGCTTTGTCTGAAAAAAATGTAAGAGTGTCATTAATGTTAATATTTAACCTTGTTGAGTGTCAGTGTAGATGTCAAGGGATCATGATTTAATAGGGGCCTTAACTTTTGTGTATACCTCTATAAAATACTTTACTGGTCAGATTCTGATCTTCGATTAAAGCCCAGATAGTCAGGCGTACTGGTATATCCGGATTTTTTGCCACTCGGATGGTGAAGTGGATTGTTTGCGCTCACGGTCGATGCATCAGTTCGTCTTACACCAGAAGGAAATCGAATTTAATTACCAACAAAAGAATGTTTTGCTTCAATCTCTTATAATAAAGTTAAAGGTTTTCCTTGAAATAGAATGTTCAAATAAACTAATAAAAACTATGACGATTTTGTTGAATTAAACTGTCAAACACCAAGCGGTCACTGGTGACCGCGACCTATTGTTCTTTAATTGTGTCTATAAAACCGGTACTCGACGAGTTAAATTATAAATCTAGAACTCTTACTACTGATGAAATCAATTGAGTTAATAAGCCTTACTTGATACTCTGACTCCTAAAACGACGAATAATACCAAAAATTCTAAAAATCTATGCATTTTACCAGCTTTAGTGAACGACTTCATAGCCCTAACTGGCATAGCAACTACACCCACTAATTTTAGTAGCGTGATTGGGATCAATTAATTAGTAGAAATTGGAATACGTCATCAGTCTCCATTAGGGGGTCGTTTAGGAAGAAATATCTCAAAGGTCAAGAAGTGCTATGATCTAATGCCTTACTGTGCGAAGGGCATTTTTTACTTCAAATTGGAATTTGAGGTTACCTGGAACAATACTTCAACGTTCATGGAATACAGAAAGAAGAAAAAATTCTGCATAAATCTATTTAACCTACTGTTAATACTACTATCTACTGAAACTGTTTATCATATCACGGAATTCGGAAATGACTTTCTATTCTATATACGACAGCCGCGGAGAACCCAACGGGTTACCGGGGCTCCGGCTCGACGTGCAGGAGAAGGAGGAGTAAGAGTCTGACACTCTCTCCCGCCTCACCCAGGCCGGAGAAGACATTCGATTATTTTCCCCCCTTAAAGAAAATCTATATACGACGATAACAATCAAATGAAAACAATTGCATAGATACTATAAGTTTCTTCAACCAATCTTATCATTTACGTAGGAAGTTAGTGAGAAAAACAAAAGAATACCACTTATAGAAAAACCCCTGTACTTATCTCTTCTCACAGTTATCAGGACAAGTCCACGCTTTATCATCGTGTACTATGAATCAGTCATCTCAAAGAACTATTTACAAAAGATATGACGTCACAATACATCTCCATGACGAAAATATTTGCTACAAACGAATTCCCAGAAGTTATCATTTAAACTGTCAAACACCAAGCCATAGTATAAAGAACACAGTAGGTTATCTAAGGCCGCCCGCCGAGTTATTAGCCTACTCTTGCGTTGATCCCCAGGGTTGTCACTTTTACTTTTAGTTAATATTTTCGAACAAGCAGCACTTGATCTAAATTTATGAAATGGAAAGCATATTATGATTGAATATTTTATCAATTTATAAATTTAGTAAAAATAAAAAGCTTATAAAAAGATTATTAACTTCTTAAAATAAACTTTAGCTCTATACATAGTATTCAGAAAGTAAATTTGGGAATACATTTATATGGAAAAATGCGACACGGCCACGCTCTTAACAAATCAGATAAACTGTGAAATAAACAATATAATATCACATTTTCTTATAATATTTAAGTACAGTAGGTATTACATTTCTGGTTGAGTAGGAACTATGAAGAATGATAAGAGTAAGAATAAGTAAGTAGGTATCTCATCATCAAGTACCTACAAACTATATTATGCTAGGAAAATTGACTAGCTTACCTTTCCTGTTCAATAGGTAATCCGAACAGAGACAGTTCTAGAATCGATTAATTATTAAGACACCCAAACACACAGCAATACGTTCTTCTACGGTTATCAGACATTTTTTATTTCATTTAACAGTGCCGAAAAGTGAAGCGCGCGCGAACCTCGTGCAGTGTTAGCCCTGCCTGGCGCACTGAGAAACGGGTCGAGATTTTGTTGAAGTGTGCGTGCGTCGACGCATAGATACTATGGCGCACACATATAAGCCGCGCGCGGAGCATTTGTATGAAGATAACCTACTCTGTTCTTTATACTATGACCAAGCGGTCACCGGTGACCGCGACCTATTGTTCTTTAATTGTGTCTATAAAACCGGTACTCGACGAGTTAATATGTATATAGAGATAACGTGATTATTAAGCTGTTATTTATTAATTATAATTTTCCTTTGATGTTATTACCGGAGCCCTGCTAATACCCGCTGATCTATTTCTATTGGCATTACGTACACACATACACACACACATTATGATTACGTATCATATACATAATTAGCGACCTGGCCGCGTGCCATGTAATTAATAAATCATATAGACTAGGTGTGAAATTGAGATATTTTTTATCCTCATCAGCGTAGTAAATTCAAACCCGATAATTTTTATTACAAACTGATTATTGTTTGAATTTCAGGATAAATATTCTATGTGTTTTATAAAACAATGTAATATACACCTAATCTTCTGCTAGAGATTACTTTTAAGAGAGTTTTAATGCCACCTGCAATAATAAGAACCTTAAGTATGGGATAGCCTTACTTCGGCATGAATGGGCCAGCTCGACTGGAGTGATACCACGGCCTCACAAAAAACCAACGTAACGAAACGTGTTTCGTTATGTGAGTGAGGTTACCGGAGGCCCAATAATCCCCCCCCCCCTCCGCTCCAGTCTCTCCAATCCCCCCACAATCCTCAATTTCCCTAATTCCCAAAAAGCCGGTAACGCACGTATAACGGTTCTGGTGTTTCAGCTGTCCATGAGCAGCGCCGATTGCTTACCATCAGGTGACCCGTCTGCTCGTTTACCGGCTTATTCCATAAAAAAGTATACAGATTTTCCAATAAAGCAATTGTATGTTAAAAATATATTCTACTATTAACTTATTAGAGCAATTTACGATCCAATGTCTCTGATATAAATCAATTGATTTAATGACGTGCTCTGAAAACCCAGCTTCCGTAACATTTCTAATGATTAATAGACATTCGGAGAAGAGAATAATGACGTGAACACTTTCGGATAATGAGTTCCTTTGATCACTGTAACAATGACGTGACATAAAAACCCAACCTTGCGGAACTTTTAACCTTAAACTTGAAGTTAAACGAATACAAACGTTTTGTCGTTGATGTCTGATAATTTAAGTATAGTCGCTTTTTCTTACTATGAAGTTAACAATATTTCTATTGCAAAATGAATCTAATGAAAAAACTAAATCAAATCATTGATTCGCTAACATGCGTAAATTACATTAAGTTGTTACCAGAACAATACAGTTCCGACCATATTACGCCTAACAAGATGGCATTATAAAAGTTTGAAGAAATTAAAAGAAAAGAAGAAAAGAAGTCGTTGACAGTGTAATATGCTTTTGGCAGTATTTAGATTTTTTATATCTGAAATCGAGTATCCAGTACTTAGGGCAAGTGATTATAGATACGTGGCACCATAAGGAAAATACTTTTATTAAGTAAATGCAGTTTTAGTGCCTGGAAGATATATATTAGATTGATATCTATTTCTATTAAATTTATTAAAGTATTTTACAAACAGTGCAACTTTCAATATATAAATACATGGTATGGTCAGTATATTTCATTTTATTAATCTGTCGAACACCAAGCGGTCACCGGTGACCGCGACCTATTGTTCTTTAATTGTGTCTATAAAACCGGTACTCGACGAGTTAAATAGGGTTTGCAACTATCTATTCCCTTAATACTAGCTATAGATATCTCAAGTGTGGGAGAGCCATGCTTCGGCACGAATGGGCCGGCTCGACCGGAGTGATACCACGGCCTCACAGAAAACCGACGTGAAGCAACGCTCGCGTTGTGTTTCGTCATGTGAGTGAGATTACCGGAGGCTCAATTACCCGCCCCTTCCCCAATCTCCCCAATCCCTGAATCCCCAACGATCCTCAAACTCATAATCCTAAAAAAGCCTGTAATGTACTTGTAACGCCTCTGGTGTTCCGGGTGTCCATGGGCGACGCCGATTGCTTACCATCAGGTGATCCGTCTGCTCGTTTACCGGCTTATGCCATAAAAAAAGATCGAATAGTTACAAAAATATCCGTATAAAGACATAAATATAAATAGCGTTATGGTATATTGCCTATTGAAGTATAATTTTAGAAAGCAATTTATTATCATCAATTTCCCTAAACTGTCTTCACTATGCACGCCTCGATACCGTGACTAGTTGATAACCAAGTTTTCATTAACATCAGATAGTCAGTAGGTGCAACCACCTATATCGGGCACCGGTCTTCACGCTTCTTCGCTAATTTACACAATAATAACTAACATTTGACGGAAATCCCACACCATTATATTTACTATGTTTGTCTCGTGTTTTGGTCTATGATACAATAATTATGCTAATATATGAAACTGTAAAAGTATTGCGGAATAGTTTCAGCGTTGTAACAAGAAAACTTTGTTTGGAAAAGATAAACATTATGACTCATTGCAATTTATATTGCTGAAAATCAGTGTCAGCTGAGTTGAACAATATGTTAACATAATATTCGAGTAATTATTCTGCTAACAACTTATTTATGGTTGTAACAAACACATCCAACAATAATGTACAATTTACGAAAACTCGTACTTTTTTAGTTAATAATCCACATTCTTTGTATAAAGACTTAATAAAAGTAGAACTCTTTTGCTTCTTCATTGAATAAGAGGCAAACGAGCTGACAAATCACCTGATGGTAAGCGATCAGCGCCGCCCATGGACACCTGCAACACTAGAGGAGTCACAGGTGCGTTCCCGGTCATTTAAAAAGTAATACGGTCTTTTCTTGAAGGTTTGAATACCGCGCATGATAGAT